CTATTTTGTTCCATTCAATTCTATTCTGTGCTGTCTGAATTCAATTGTTGGTCATTATTTTGACTCAAACAACCGTTTTGTCCACTGCTCATTTATGAGCCGCCCAGTTCAACTTAAGCTTTGCCACAATGTTGACCACATCATTACGCCAGTTCTTCTTCATAGGTCTTCATTGCGTATGTAGTCCCTCAGAGTTAACCCAGGATCGACCTCTCCACCTATCTTTGCGTTACGGAAACACGAATTGATTGAAAGCCTCTTTTGGCCTTTTCTCTTGAAGATGTCTCTAAATCTTCTGTTTAGTTCGCTTGTTTGATTATCTCTCGATACACGAACCTCATAGCCAAGATATACATAGCTGTCAACCCTCTTAATCTCATTATCCCCAATGTTGATGTTAGAGCTGGGAACAAGATTTGTCATAAATTTTGATTTCTCCTCGTTGGTATTTAGCCCGACTCTTGCACACACCTCCTTTAAATCGTCTAATGTAATCTCTTCAAGGCTATGCATTCTGCATTCTTGAAGTGCTTGCAAAACTGCCATCAACTCAATTTAAATTAAATTTTATAAATACTTCTAAAAACCCATCTTTGGTACATACCCCGGGGTATATATCCAGGAAATTTACCCTTGGAAATAAATACCCTGGTATGTAACAACACTGCTTCCGATTTATATAACAGGAAGGGTTCTGATCAAATTCATCTTCTGTTCTACATAAAGGTGATAGGAACCAATTCTTTAGGACAACCTCTCAAATAACTCAATAAACAACAAAGAAATGTAAATATAATTTCAAATTCATTTTAAGTCACAAACTGTCATAGCTACTTCAACGATTTGGCAACGTTGCCCGCTTTGCTTCTCTCTGGATGAGCCATCATTGTGTTTTTATACACGTTTCTTTGATCAATCATTTTTTGAAAAAATTTTGGGTAAAGTTGGTTTCCTATTGAAATGTCAATTATTCTTGGAAAAATGTTGGGTAAGGTTGGTTTCCTACTGAAATGTCAATCATTCTTGGATAAATGTTCGGTAAGGTTGACTTTCTATTAAAATGTCAATCTTTGTTGGAAAAAATGTTGGGTAAGGTTGGTTTTCTATTGAAATGTGAATTATTCTTGGAAAAAATGTTGGGTAAAGTTGGTTTCCTATTGAAATGTCAATCATTGTTGGAAAAAATGTTAGGTACGCTTGGTTTCCTACTGAAATGTCAATCATTCTTTGAAAAAATGTTAGGTAAGGTTAGTTTCCTACTGAAATGTCACTTATTCTTGGAAAAATGTTGGTTAAAGTTGGTTTCCTATTGAAATGTCAATCATCCCGAGAAAAAATGTTGAGTAAGGGTAGCTTTCTTTTGAAATGCTAATCATCCTAACCATTATAAACTAACCTCAGTAAACACTCAATTTAGAACCAACCCATGTCACTCAAAGAAAATCCGGCCGTCTTGAGTTCAAACAGTTTTTGAATCGATTTATTAAACGTGGTTTTTCATGAATTGTCACTTCACGCTTGAGAGAGCAGATAAGCAGTCATGAGTAGAACAAAGCTTTAGACGATGTGTGTTTCTCATCAAGTTCAACCTCAGCAGTTTCACCTTAGGGTGTGTCCAAACATTGCGCGGCAAGTGCATGGTAGCAACAATTATTGCTTTTCTGTGCCAGATTGTTGTATATTTGTATAGAACTAAAAGTAGACCTATTACCAACCTTAGAACCAGAAGCATTCGGGTTTAGCCGTCTTAAGAGCAGAGCTGGGTCGGATACAGAAAAAACTATTCGAGTACTTTTTAAAAAAGTACGGATACTTTCTCCATAAAAGTATCCGGATACATCTATCCGGCAGTTTTCGGATACTTTTAAAATTACCTAAATTGTTGTTAAACTAATATATTGTTATCCATATTTTACTTATATTTTTATTTATTATACTTATATATTTTTCCCGAGTAGTCTCTCGCTGGTGAAATTTAGTGTACAGGGTGGTTCAAATTCGATGTCCGAATAGGCTAACTCGGAAACTATAAGAGTTAGAAAAAAAGTAGCTTACATGTCATGATCTCGTTTTTCGAGAAACTGCTAATGCCGAAANTGACATATAATATATCTATCTTTGTTACACTTTCACATTATCGCTTTCCATCTGCGTCTATTCACCTTGAGCAACATTTTTGTTAGTAGATATATTCAGTTAGCTCAATCCATATTATATATAATCAAAGGTTATAGCCCATTCAGAGAGAAGCGACGTTGCTAGATCGTTGGCTATTTCTTTTAAAGATAACGAATACAGATTACTACTTTATTCTTAACACGCTATCTATTGAATTAGTCTCCAATTAAAAGCAGAGTTTCAAACCAGCTTCGAGATTATTAAATTTAATGTAAGTGCGCGTATAATTTTAGCTATAGCTAAGCATTGTTGGGTAAGGTTACTTGTTTACAAATGTCAATCATCCAGAGAAAAACTGTTAGGTGAGGTTGGTTTCCTATTGAAATGTCAATTATTCTTGGAAAAATGTTGGGTAAGGTTGGTTTCCCATTGAAATGTCAATCATAGTTGGAAAAATGTTAGGTAAGGTTGGTTTCCTATTGAAATGTCAATTATTCTTGGATAAAATGTTTGGTAAGGTTGACTTCGTATTAAAATGTCAATCGACCTTGGAAAAAATGTTGGGTACGGTTGGTTTCCTATTGAAATGTCGATTATTCTTAGAAAAAATGATTAGTAAGGTTGACTTCCTATTAAAAAGTCAAACATGCTTGAAAAACACGTTGGGTGAGGTTGTTTTATTTTGAAATGTCATTCATTCTTGGAAAAAATGTTAGGTAAGGTTGGTTTCCTATTAAAATGTCAATCATCCCGAGAAAAAATGTTGAGTAAGGTTAGCTTTCTTTTGAAATGTTAATTATCCTAACCGTTATAAACTAACCTCAGTGAACACTCAATTTAGACCCAACCCAAATCATTCAAAGATCCGTTCTAGTTTTAACAGCTTTTCTGTGCCAGATTGTTGTATATTTGTATAGAACTAAAAGTAGACCTATCACCAACCTTAGAACCAGCAGCATTCGGGTTTAGCCGTCTTAAAAGCAGAGCTGGGTCAGATACAGGAAAAAAGTATTCGAGTACCGTATACCGGATACTTACAATGTATTCCGATACTTTTTCAAAAAAGATACTTGTATCCGGCAGTTTTCGAATACATTCTCGGATACTTTTAAAATTACCTAAATTATTGTTAAACTAATATATTGTCATCCATATTTTACTTTTATTTTTATTTATTATACTTATATATTTTTCCCTAGTAGTCTCTCGCTGGTGAAATTTAGTGTACACTTCCTAGGAAATGAGTTCTTGGATTTTTTTCCAACAGGGGAAATTTAGTGTACAAAGTTTAGTCGGAGAGAGAGCCCTCGATTTTCCCACAATAATAAAAGAGACGAACAACTAACTTCCAACATGTAAAGCAACAATTATTGATGTAGTTACAAAAGATGCACAATAGTAGAAGAAACTGAAAAAAATGGGGATTCAAACACTCTGGTGTATATGTACGTGTATAATAATAGAATAGGTAATAAAAATACTCAATTAAAAGGTATCCGAACACCGAAAAAAGTATCCGGATACTACCCAACTCTGCTTAAGAGACGTATGGTTAAAACCGAATATTTCTAGTTCTAGGTCTAGTCTATCTTCTATCTAATCTTCTATCACTCTTAGTTACGCGAATCTCCATTTGAAGTCTATAGGAGGAAGTGGTCTTTTAATAATGTTTTATGTATCTAATATAAGGCCATATTAGCCTTCTTTCTTTTAATAATTTTGTACTAATTTCCTTAATTATCGTCTTTTTAGCATTAATTAATAAAATTTGAAACAAATTTTTTCATAAACTAAATATTAGTTATTTATCATACTAATTTGTTTATTAAATCCTCAATATTTTCTTAATCAAATGATAAAAATTATATTAACATTTAAATATTATTTTGGAAGATACGATCATTTTTTAAATAATAATTATTATTTTTTAAAATTAATTATTTTTTAGTTTTATCTTTCATCATCACATAAAATAATTGTTCTGACCTTGAGAATTATTTACGTCAAAACCAATCGAAATATTAAAAGTGTCTATTTTTAAAATAAATTCTTAATCGCTTCTTAATCAATTCGAGAAATTTAAATAAATAAAAACTTATTATTGCTTTTAATTTGAATTTGATGATTCCACCAAAATATTTTGATCGGAAATCTTTATCACTTCATTTTTATTATTGAAATAATTTGGTTTAAAACTAAAATAATAAACATCAAATAAATGTAATAACACTAATAACATAAACATAATAAATAAGGTTTTAGATATAATTAAAAGTTTATTTTTTATAATTCATTAACTTTAAAATGGTCGAAACGTGCCAAATTAACATTTTCGAAAAGATAACGACGTTCTATTTAGATAACGAAGTCATTACTAAAAAATTTGCATTTCTATCTAATTTTTGATAATTTCAAAGTCCAAAAAAAGTGTCAATGTGTGTAATAATTCTCTCATCTAAGTTCAATGTCCACATCTACCGGTCAAACGACATTAAATTGTTGACGCACGTTTCACCGAAAATATTAAATTGCAAAAATTCCATTCTGGCAAATTTTAATAAATACTTCTATGAGGACTTTACTCAATTATACGTTATATATTATATGTTGTTTTGCAGATGTTCATGCAATCATTTTGTTTATCGGTGCTATTTCAAATGACCAAAGCCAATTGCGTGTTAATTTTTGATTATATTATCACAGTTTTGTACTTATCCTCGGGGTCAATGGTTTTTATGTCAACAATCATTACTTCCTATTTCATAAAATACTTGTTGATAAACGAAATGATTCACACGTGACAAAAGAAATTTAATCCTTTATCGTTATTAAAAAAAAGTTATTCTTTTAAGAATTTTTAAGATAAATCCAACCAGTTTTAAGAATTCAGAACAAGGATTTCCACACACGACCCATTCGTGACCACACAAACAAAGTCAAGGTTCGCCAACAGCACGTCATCTTTTAACCATTACCATTTTTACCTCTCTCATTAGCGCCGCTTATTTTTCACTACAAGTTTCATTTTATTAAACGAAACTTGCATCGACACGATCTCAAAATCCTCTCATTTTGAACCTTTGAACACCGGCGAAATCGGTGTATAAAACAACGGATAATGTCGCGTGCGATAGTCACTTCAACGAAGATCGTCTTTGTGCAAAGAACTCACAACAACAACTCGACGAAGAATAACGAGCGCAAATATGGAAGCTATCATTAATGAAGCTTCCAGGCCACCATCAACGATTATTACACTTGAAAATAAGGCCGCGTTAAAATCTAATGGTGTTGGGTGTAGTGAAAATAAATGTTTATCTAAAGAAGGATTATCAAGAAATTCCCGAGTTGATCCTATTGATATACGATTTGAAAATGTTACGTATACAGCTTCTTTAGGGTTTAGAAAAGGTTTGTTATAATAAAAATTTGATTAATTATCTTTATAGCCTTTGTATTAAAGATGACTTCGCGATTTCTATTCTTTTATTAATAGGAAATACCATTTTGCTTACTTAATTTGTGTTACAAAGGTCACCAAGATTATGAATTTGATAATTAATTTATTTAAATTTATTTTGTTTAGGTACAAAACAAATTTTACACGAAATCAATGGTTATTTACCTCAAGGTCAATTGATTGCTATTATGGGTCCATCCGGAGCTGGTAAAAGTACGTTACTGAATGTGTTGAGCGGTTATAGTATCAAAGGGGTTGGAGGAAACGTGTACGTTGACGGTGCGGTTCGCGACTTGAAAGCCTTCAGGAAATTGTCCTGCTATATCACCCAAGATGACAGGCTTCAACCCTTGCTAACGGTCGGGGAAAACATGCGAATGGCTGCCGATTTTAAACTTGGGGTCGAGGTCACAAAACTAGAAAAAGACCAAATCGTAAGAATTTCTACTTTAAAATTTATTTCTAAAATAGAGATTATTGAATATTGTGGCCCAGTTGTTGCAAGCTTGGTGCATTCACAGGTCAATAACGACAATTGATAAAGTTTAATGTATTTGTACTGATAAAGACTTTGTGTCTTTTGTTCTTGCGTTGATAGGATTAATAAAAATTCGTTTTTTTTATTCAATTGTAATCATGATTCAAAATCTTTTAATCACAAATACTACAAGTCAGGTTTAATTATCTATTTTTTAAGAAATTTTTCAAACATAGAAGGTTTCAAACATTTCTTTTGGTTTTTAAGATATAATTTTATTAGAACATTTAATTATAAACATACTGGAAAATTCACTTACTTAGGAATATTACTTAGATACTATTGGTAGATACTACAATTGCAAATGATTAGATACTGCTTACAGCAGACTACATATTGGCGAAGAAGAAAAATATCTGGCGGAAAAGTTGATATTACTAATGAAGTTTTAGACTAGGTATTGCTTGCAGAAGACTAGACAGTGCTGGAAGAGAACTACATTTTCCTGATAGAATAATTAATTCTGCTAACGGAAGAGTGAATACTGCTAAAATAAGACAAGATAATGGTGGCAGAAAATTATACAAGGGTGGAAGTGGATTAATTACTTTTAATGGATGATTATAGATTGATTAGATGATAGATGATTAATTAGATACTGCTAATAGATGACTAGCTACTTCTGGCAGATGACTAAATACTCCCAAGAAAGAACTATATACTGCTTCTGACAATACTATCATATTTAACAATTAGCTCTAATTATATATTTTGAATTTAAGGTAAAACAAAAGTTTTCCAGTGGTATAATTGCTATTGATTCATTTCTTATCTATCAAAGTAAACAACATGGTTTTATAATGTTCGAATCCTCCAACGCTTGTTCTATGACGACAAATAGTTATTTTGTTCCAACAAGCATTTCTGATTGGTTGGGAACCCGTTATTTTAGACGTTCATGCTAAATTAAGTAATCAAATCTGTCGAAATTTGGTATACTTTACCTCAATTCTTTACAAATACATATTAATCCTAACAATTTCCAAAGGATAGAAGAACTTTACAAATAATACTGGCTGAAGACTAAATACTGCTGTCAGGACACTTCTGAAAGAGGGCTAGGTACTGCTAATAAAAGACTAGATACTGCTGGAAGAGAACTAGATACTGCTAGCACAAAACTAGATACAACTGAAAGAAGATATATTGCTAATCGAAAACTAGATACTCCTACTAATAGATTAGATACTGTTGGCGGAGAGCTAAATATGGAAGAAGACCAGATGCTGCTGGCAGAAGAATGTCCATTAGAGGATGTCACCAATTAATGCCTAAATACTCTTATTATTGCTCGAAAAGTACTAAATATTGCTAGAGAGGACTAAATACTACTAACAGAAGACTAGTTGTTTCTGCAAGAGAGCTACTATCGGTGCCAAAAGTTAAGGCCTTCACTTTAGAGATCAATATCTTCACAACCCCTCGATAAAAAAGAATGTGGTAAAGTTTGTTGTAATCACTGAACATTTCTACATAACATATCTTAATTTGAAAATTTTCGAACCCGCGGTTATCTTTTTATCGCGAGTTAAATGAAAAAAGTAACCAATTTTTTACGGTACCGGCAACTTTGTCTACTTTGCAATTTTTTTTTCTCATAAACTATCCAACGAAAAAATTTCAACTTTGAACAGGTGGTAACCTGATGTGTACTTAATGAGGGGCATATTTTATTTTTTCGATATTCCATGTAGTTTCGCGGAAAATCGCTGTTTAGTAAGACACTGTTATGTCGAAAACGGCTGGGTGGATTTCAACACGGATTTGACCAAAAAATGTCAAATAATTGCGTTTATCGGATACCGTTACCAGTTTTTCAAAGTTATGTCTCTCTAATTACAACATTAAGCTCTGCGGGGTAGGGTGGTTCTGTCCAGTTGGAAAAGATTTTGCGTTCCAAACAGTACGTCGCGCCTATATCTTACCTAGATAAAGAAATAAAGGCGCGACGTCCTGTCTCTGGAACACACACCAGGACCATCTTTTTCCCTCTAAAGTGAGGGGCCTTTAATTTTTGGCACAGATAGTAGAAGACTAGATATTCATGGAAGAAAACTTGATATTACTGATAGAAGACTAACTACTGCTAGCAGGTTGTTGCTAGAAAAGAACTAGTTACTGCTAATGGAAACCTAGATAATGCTAATAGAAAATTGATTACTACTGACAGAAGATTAGATATCTTCGCTTGATAACTAAACACTGATAATGAAAAATGAGATGCTACTATGAGACACACTATTATATCTCTGGAACAGGACTAGATACTGCTAATAGAAGACTAGATATTGTTGATAAAGAATTAAATGCTGCCGAAAACTACATAGATTCTGTTGGCAGAAGTGTATCCCAGAAATACTTGTCAACCACGGCTTTATCTTTTTCAGCAGAAAATATTTTTTTTATAAATTGACAGATTCTAGTCGAGGTTGGTTACTAAATTATATGGTGGTAGCATGATAACCGTAAGAACCTTGACTTAATCAGGAGAAGTAGATGGTCAGACGCGGTGCAGTTTTACCAATTTTGGGTTGATATGACACTAATTGCAAAAACTTGCAATTAAAAAACAAGCAACCTTGATTTAAGACCAAAGTTTAGCCTACATTCAAGACACTTGAGGATAAAAAGATATGGTGGTAGCACTATAACCGTAAGAACCTTGACTTAATCAGGAGAAGTAGATGGTCAGACGCGGTGCAGTTTTACCAATTTTGGGTTGATATGACACTAATTGCAAAAACTTGCAATTAAAAAACAAGCAACCTTGATTTAAGACCAAAGTTTAGCCTAATTGGTTTATGATCTATAAAATATGCAGCAACAGCAAGTCTGAAATTCTCCGTTCTAACAAGTTGTAAATGTAGCCAAGGTCATTCTCGGCCGAAACATTACAATATGTGCTGCTTAATTTAAAATCGATGTAGTATCAAGAAAATTTCTACCCTAACTTTAGTTAAAGTCGCTCGTGACACAAAGAATCTTAGGTAACAATGTATCCCCTTTAAAAATAAAATGCGATCGAGACATAAATTTAAATCATCCTTAATATTTTTTTTTCTACTTCAAGATTAAAGACATTTTATCGACACTTGGTTTATCAACATCGATCAACACAAAAGCTTCCATGTTATCAGGCGGACAAAAGAAGCGGCTTTCCATCGCTTTAGAACTAATCAATAATCCCTTAGTTATGTTTTTGGATGAACCAACAACGTAAGCTTCATTTTTAAATAAACAAAAACGTTTAAAATAAAATTTATTCTTTCAACAAACAGGGGATTAGACAGCTTAACCTGCACGCAAACCGTCAAGTTATTAAAGAATTTGTCAGACCAAGGAAGAACAATTATTTGTACGATCCATCAACCTTCAGCATCACTTTTTAGTTTATTCGATCAAGTTTATGTTTTATCCTTTGGTAATTGTCTTTATCAAGGAAGTACTGAAAATCTAGTTCCTTTTTTGGATAAAGCTAATTTACCGTGTCCCATGTATCATAATCCAGCTGATTATAGTAAGTTTAAAAAAAAATCTCTTAAATTAATTTAATTATTTAAATAATTCACAGTAATTGAATTGGCTTGTGGCGAATACGGAACTGATAAAATAGAAGAATTATCGAAAGAAACATCAAACGGATTAAGTATAGAATGGTTTAAACATCCGGAATCGATTAAAAAACAATTAACGATGACACAAAGTTCAAAATTGAAAAAGAAATTAAATAGAGATAATGAAAATATTCAAGCAACGAGTCAATATAATCAATTAAAAGTTTTATTAAGGAGAGGATTTTTAAAATCAAAACGAGACTCAGTAAATAAATTAATTATTTTTGACTATTTTGTATTTATTTTAATTTTTTTTTAGAAATTAACGTACACTAGAATAGGTGTGAACGTTTTAGTGGCAATTATGTTAGGAACTTTATATTGGAGGGCTGGAATTGACGGTTCGAAAGTTTTGGATAATTACAATTTGTTATTTTCGATTTTAATGCATCACATGATGTCAACGATGATGTTAACGATTTTAACTTGTAAGTTAATTCATTTAAAATAATTCAATAATTTTGTTGAGTTTTATTTTAGTTCCAACTGAATTGTCGATTTTAATTAAAGAACATTTTAATAGGTGGTACTCTTTAAAAATGTACTATGCATCAGTTACTTTAGTGGATATTCCAATTTCAATCGTTTGCGCGTTTTTATTTTCATTGATTATTTATATAATGACAGCACAACCTTTAGAATTAAATCGATTTCTTATGTTTACCGCTATTTCGACTTTAGTTGTTTTTGTCGCTCAAAGTTTTGGTTTAATGATTGGGGCTGTTTGTAATGTTGTTGTAAGTAAATTTTTTTAATGATTATTAATTTTATTTTAATTAAATTTTTTATTTTTAGAATGGAACATTTCTCGGTCCAACTTTATCAGTTCCTATGATGATGTTCGCCGGATTTGGAGTAGCAATAAAGGATCTTCCGGGTTATTTGTATTGGGGTAGCTACATATCTTATTTAAGATATGGGTTGGAAGGAATTGTTGATGCTGTTTATGGGATGAATAGGCCGACGATTGCTTGTCCGGAAGACAAATATTGTCACTATAAATACCCGAAACAATTTTTAAAAGAAATCTCAATGAAAGCAGATCAATTTTGGAACGATATTATCGCTTTAATCATCATGTTATTTTTCTTAAGAATTCTTGCTTATGTACTTTTAAGATGGAAACTTTTGTCAGTGCGATAATTATTTTAAAAAGAATGATTTTTTACTTTCTGTGATGTTAACATTACAATTTTGATGTAAATAGATTTTTTTATTATATATTTATTTCAATTTTTGTAGATGTTTTAATTTCTTATTGGATACTTTGAGTAGAGTTTAGACCTCTCTTTAATAATTTCCCAAAATTTTAAGATATCCGAAAAAGGAAGCTATCCATTCAAAACACCAAACTTTCCTATACATCTAAAAGATGTCTCTCCTAGCTTTAAATTTACGATATAATAACATATATAAGATGTGTATATTTGGTTGCTGACTTAGTTTACATCAACCCTTATTGTTAGGGGTGTTTTCATAAAGGTTATGTTAAAGAATTGTTTTTATTTATTATTTGATGTATCATAATGTTTGAGAGTGTTTGTGAACTAGTTTTTAATAATTACTTCTCATTGTTGGTAAGAACACCGACCTGGTAAACTCGTTATAAAAATAACACTTAAAAAATAATAACAACAAACTCGTAATTGTGTATAATCCTTGGAATTGTGGAAAGAATTGATTTTGTTATCACCAATTGGATTATTCCGGCTGGAATATTTTTTTCCACTTATAACTAACAATATAAAATAAATCGTTTTTGTAAAATTCCCTAATCCCCACGACATTTGGATTTACATTAAGAATTAAAAGTTTAATAGCATTTACATAACAATTTGTTAATTAATGCATTTAGCGTAATTTCGTTAATTAATTAATTCTTCACTTTCTAATATTCACTTGAAAACTGTTTAATGTTCTCAAGTTGATTGAGTAACTAGAAAAATAAATAAAAAATTGTTCATAAATTATACAAGTTATAATCTTTTATCGTCTTATTACGTTTTTAATGTTTAATACCACAAAAAATTGTGGGTTATTCTTGGAAAAAATTTCTTTAATTAAAGATAATAAAAAGTTAGACTTTTTTTTTGTAATTGTGATAAGCACTAAGAATTATTCTTTTTAATTTAATAAACTAAATAGCTTTCTTGATATTAATATCATCGTCTAAGAAAAATCATTAGTGATGATTTTAATTTTTTTCTCCCCGATTTATACTTTTAATTTTCTCTTCCAAATTACTAAACGCAACCATCCCCCAATTTATTTTATGAAAATGCCAAATAAACTATAAAAATAAAATTAATACTAGAAGCTTCCGGGTTATTAATAAACAAAACACTGTTTTAATGGACGCTCGGGTATCCCGGAAGTTCCTAGATTTATTTTTCTATCTAATAACTCCGGCCGTGATAGCCTACGAATTTATATTTGTTGATGAAAATATTATAAAACTTTTTAGCTTTTTTTTCAACCAATTTTTGAACAAAAAAATAATAAATGCTTTGATATTAGAGAGATTATCAGGTTTCAGTACCATGAAAACTCGTAATCGTGCTATTGGATGATTGGAAATGCAGCCCATTCTAACTTTGGGAATGCAAACCAAGCTAATCCAACCTTAAATCCGTCCTCAAAGCAAGTTAATTCAATACCAAACTAAGTTAACCTAGCCCAAAAAGAATTTATGTAAGAAACCAATCTTAAAATTCAGTTAATCCAACCTTAGATCTAACACTCAACAAGAATATCTAACTATACAGCAACCAATCCAATCGCAAAGCAACCCAACTCATTGCAATTCAAAGTCAACAAGTGGTCGAGGTTGAGTTGCTTTCGGAATCTAACTTAACCACAAATTAATGTAAGCCAACATCATATCCAACCTAATCTCAAAGCAAGCCAATGCTTTAAATATGTAAATATGAAGAAATCCAACAAAACAGCAAGATAATCAAACTCCAAAATAACTTATCCACAAAGTAGCTCCAACGGAACTTAACCATAAAGTAACAAAACTGTCAATATATCAGTTTGGGAACCCAATACAACTACAACATCTTCTAACTAATCCAACCCAACCTCAAAACAAACAAATTCAAATCCAGCTCCAAAACAACCAAACTCGTTATAATATAACCCTTTGTGTCCCAAGAAGTCAAAAATTCTGAAACTTTGTGACAGAATTAACACGCTATCAAAATACACTCAGTAAAGGCCTTTGGAATCAATTTAAGCAAAATATGCAATCCTCCCATTCCAGGGGGATAATGGTTCTTGAGTTGCTTTGGCAGAACAATTTTCACAACTTCCTGTTTCTTTTGAATTTGCGCTATGACATTTTCGTGGATTGTTGGGTTGGATTAGAAAAATATTGAGAAAAAAAATATTGAAACAAACATTACATTTTCGGATAACCTAAAAGTGTCAAAAAAGATGCTAATTTAAAAATTCCTGGAAGCCGTATTTATTAAAATTAAGGAATAAGACTTGTTCTAAATTAAAGCTCAATGCTTTCTTTTTAAAATGATCTGTAATAATCACACCTAATAACCATTTATCAAAGAGATACCTTTTTGAACAACAGAATTCAACAACACCACTTTTCACTATTTTTCTATGATCTGGACGAATAAGTCTAAATATACCTAAAAACCCTACAGTGCGAATTGTGTCATTTTTTATACTGATTCTTTCTTGTATAGAAGAAAGTACCGACAGCTCTAAATGCGCCGAATATCTACAGTTCAAAATGAGTGTTTAAAACTACCGTTACTTTAAAGTACCGTCGGGACCCAAAGGGATAAACTTCGTAGTTGGGTTGGATCTCTTTGGAAATTCAATTCAACTACAAATCAAGCTAAACCAACTCAACCTAGCATCCAAGGAGTGCAATGTTACCCAAACCAGCCACTTCAAGCCTACTGCAACCAAATCCACTAATAAAGCACTAGAATCAAAATTTATAGCAAACTAACCCAACTCCAAATTAGTCCCAAGTACGCTACTTTGGGATTAATATCCAAGTAGAAAAGACAATCGAACCAAAACAACCCAATTTATCTTCAAACCCAGCTAATCCAACCTTAAAGGAATGTAAAGAGAAGGAAATTCAAGGCAACACAATCCAGTCCCTAAGCCACTCAGGTTATCATAATTGAAAGTTGACAAGTGATTGGGTTTGGTCAATCAAGCTCTACCAAAAATCAAGCTAAGGCAATTTTTTATCTAATCCCAGAAAATTACTATTATTAAGGAAACTTTCAAAAATCCAAAATAAATCAATCATGATTGATCCATGTCCCAAGCCATTTTGGGCCACTTTAGGAACCCTACACAACCAGAAACTAAATTAATAATAGTAAGAAACCCCGTTTTAACAAAATTTAACCTCAAGGAAATAAATCCTATTTCATAGCAAGCCAAGCTAAATAGAATGTTTCAAAATCCAACTATAAAACGAGCAAATCCAAATCTAAAGCAACCTAACCCAACCCCAAACAAAATTAACCATAAAGTAGTCGAATTTGAAATCAAGTTATTCCAATTCCAAAGGTACATAATCCAAAATTAAAGGAATCTCCAAAGCAACTCAACTGCCAAGTTAAGCCAAGTCAAACCAAATCATCTCAATCCATTACAATTCAAACTTGACATTAACTTCAAATCAGCTTAAAGCAAATCATGGATATAAATATTCGGGTACTTCTTTTTCTTCTGCAGAATTCGTCAGATTTCTTCATTCTAAGTTCAATTTGAATAAGTTTTAAGAATTTCTCATTTCTGTTCTGATTTTAGTGTTTTCTGTGCTTTTTTATAATATTTTCCGTGAGGATCAACCAGTATATCCTAATTTCGTCTACACAAGAGAAATACAAATGATTTTTGATTAATGGGGATATACAATTTGTAAGGTGGTATGATGTTTATGTACATACTTGGTTGGAGATAATGTTCTGCATGCGTTTAGTACGTTTAAACACATTGGGCATGTTGTGAGCTTGTTGCACTTCAAGTCACCAATGTGGTTTCTCCTCTCTATGTCCAGATGTATGGTCCAGCTGCACATCATCAACGCTTATCATTATTAAATTTGATGAAATATGATATCAATCATTTATTAGAATTTGTACACTTTTTAATATATTCTAAAAATTACGTGATTCTGACTTCATTTAAAATTAATTTACAAATTTCGATAATTTCAAAAGCATAAATTTGATGTTAATTTTTAATAATCTTTATCGGTTTTTTATGGTGATTTTTTTTATGTAACAATTCTCTAAATTTATTTCGATGATCTAACACATAAAAACCACTCAAATTGCTAACCTTGAGAAACCTGCAACAATAACTCTTAAAAAAAGCATGCCATTATATTTTTTTAATGTTACTTTATTTGCTTTTTTTTAATACACCTATTAAAATTTTTGTCGTTGTATCATATCAACCGATCAATTTTTTTTACTCGGTTTTTGTGCATTTTTACGTGAATCTTTTTTAATTTAAAAACAAGTAAATTAAAACAAGTAAAAAAAATTAAATTATGATCAATTTGAAGTTTGAAATGATTCCGGTTATACATGAAAAAGGCAAAAGAACGTGTCAAGTTCACGGTGTCATGAAGATAAGGCCACTCAGAAACATTGAACAACGGTTACTATTGTAAGGTCGCTTTTTGAAGATATGAAAATTGAGGCGATTGTTGTTGACGTTGTGCAATAATCGGATTCTATACCTGATCTAATCATGTTTCAAGGGTAATGAGATAAGAAACGACCTAAAAATATATTCCTAAATTTTTATTAATTGACCCATATAATAAAAAATTAAAATTTAAGGAAAGAGAAACAAACCATTTTAGGAAATATGTTGAAATAAATCGAAATTAACTCACTTTTACTATTAGTTTCACCATTGTTGTTCTTGGGTAACAAGCTTTTTACAAATTTATTACAAAAAAAAAGAATTGTTTGTGGTTTAGTAACGAAATTTACTGTTCCATGAAAGGCATTAAAAGAAGTGGGAATCCAATACTAACCAGCAACTAAATGGTGATCTGGGTCATGATGATGATGTAGTGTATACAAAGGAATTTGTCCTACTTGAATTTCCAAGTAATCAACCAACCGTAAACTTAAATTCAAATTATTAAAGTAATTTAGTTAATTTAAATCGAAGTTGGATTAGAATATAAAAATAAAAACAATGTTGTTCACATAGTTATGTTAAAAGTAGGTGAAAAAAATCTTTTTGGGTGGGTAACTGTGTGAAAGTTTGAAAATTATAACGAATAACACATCCTGCGGTTTCTTACCATTAATATACGATCGGTTTGGCAATACTCAGTTATACCGCTTAAAAATAATTTCTCTTTAATCTTTTTAGCTTCTAATTTATGATTAAATTTCAAAATGGTTTATAAAGAAATCTTTGCGGTCTGATATTTACATCAAGTATGAGAGAAAGGATTTAGTAATTATAATTAAATAAAAAAAGTCATATTTAAAATTGATGATATTCAAATAAAAGTCATATAACATAGTTAAAACTAAACGGCCATTAAAAAAAACTCCAAAAACTAGTTTTTCGTTTAAAATTATTGCAATTATAAAATCAAGTTGATAATAATTCCGCAAAAACTGTAATTACAAAACTTCATAAGTTTATAAAAATTGAATTATTATTTTAATTCTTGCTTTCATCCGAAATCCGTAAAAACATGTTGTTTTAAAGTACAATTAACACCCAGACTTGTTAAGAGGTATTATTTATAATTTTATTAAGGCAGAAATCAAAGCAAAACAAATCATAAAACATATTTCGTCGAAAACTAAAATCCAACTTTATTTTCTGTTACTCCTGCATTCATAATTATGTTGCGGTTAATTTAAGGCGAACTCATTGTATTCGACGTTTTGACGTCCTGCATAGAATATTCATAAACTATTCATTTCATTTAACGTATTCAGTCTCTATTTTTGGTAATATGACGTTTGACATACATAGATTTTAACACATCGTTTAATTATGATTCATCACAAGAAAATTAAATTTCTTAATTTTTTATCAAATAAATTTAATAAATTATTTATAAATTACATAATAAACTTTTTTTAATCTAACAGTAAAATCTTTCTGGGTTTTAGAATTTTAGATTTTGGGAAACATCCAGAGAATTTAGTTGATCGATCAAGTTTTGCTTTATAATTGCTTAACGAGGTGTTATTAATCATTAATAATATCTAAACAACATTTTTAATGGCACATTAGCACATACATAAATAATGATTAAAGATTAGACAATAATATCAACAATTTTATTCTGAGAAATCATTTCTCCTTGAAATGAGAAGTCTATAAAATGGTGTTTATTTCATTTTAATATTATGAACTTTATAAGCGCTAGAACTGCGCATATTTACATATATTTCTCATCACTTAGGTACAATAATTTCAGATCATCTGCCAAACTCATCTGCGGTGTCTGTTATCCATGTGATAATCCTAGAAATGAATTCGAACAAGGTTTTGATGCAAATTATCGAAGATACCCAACAAAAAAGCAAGATAATCAAACTCCAAAATGACTTAACCACAAAGTAACACTGGAAACACAAAGTAACACAAAAACATCTATGCCTCAATATTTTATTGGGTTAAACTCATCTGCGGCGTCTGCTATCTATATAATAATTTATGGATGAATATCTTCTTAGAAATGAATAATCTAACAAGGTTTTGATGCCAATTATCGAAGATATCCAACAAGAAAGCAAGATTATCAAACTCTAACATAACTTATTACTTGACCCAACACAACCACAATGTATAATACTCATCTGGCACTCAATTTTTTTTGGATTGTACGGATCATATATTTTCAAAGAGATCCAATCCAAGTATCAACTTTATATCATAATGAGTTGGGTTGTCTTTGAGGCTGGATTTGTTTGTTTTGAGGTTGGGTCGGATTAGTTATTAGCTACTACATTTTCGAACTAATCCAACCCAACCTCAAAACAAACAAATCCAACTGCCAAAACAACCCAACTCATTGTGATATCAAGTTGATTTTGCAGTTGGATATGTTTATTTTGAGGTTGGGTGGGATTAGTTATTAGCTATTACATCTTCGAACTAATCCAACCCAACCTCAAAACAAACAAATCCAACTGCCAATCCAGCCCCAAAACAAGTTGATACTTGGATTGGATCTTTTTGAAAATAGTTGATCCGTACAAACCAAGAAAAATCGAGTGCCTAGAGTATGATTCATCAAACATTGTCAGATCATGCAGTCCTTTTTTTTACCCTAGAAAAGAATAACATCTAGTATTTTCCTGGGTGTATTTCTTCATATTCAGTAATCATCAAGAAAAGACGATGTGTATGAAGTCCTCCGGATACATTTTGAAAGATCCATCATTTAGGCATTGACCAGCATAGCCTGTAGTGTACAACAAAATAACAATCCTGGTGGTGGAACGAAGGTTTCCAACCTTGATTTGATACATTTTCTCGTACAAGAATGATTAAGGCAATTTTTTCAACTCTATATAAAGCTGACTGTGATCAAATATTATTGAACGATTAGATCTTTTTATGGTTTCAGTTGATGACCGATACTGAGTATTCGTTAATGGAGAATACAAGCATATTGCTAAATTCTGCAATTCTTATGAATCCAGGCAATTGTATTTAGAATCAACTCTATGGCACTTGGTAATCCTTGAATATACTTGAAAATTGTTAAAATTTTAAGAAAATTCTTGCAAATTTTTTTAAATCCTCAAATAATTATTAGATATCCTAGAAGGAATAATCCTAGAAGCTCCTAAACATTTTAAACCTTTGGAATATTCTTAGAAAATATAGCAATTTGCTGAGATTATACTAAAAATTCTCAGGGATTCTTTGAAAATGGAAATTCCTCAAAGCCCAAGAAAATATTTTGAAGTCGACTGAATAACTCGGATTCTTTTTGAAATAGTGACTTTATATTTATCTCGAATAAATCGCAAATCCCTTAGAAATCTCAGATAATCTTCTTGGAAATATTGCAAAAATTAAGATGTATTTAACTAAATCCAGGATATCTTCAAATATCTCTGAAATATTTTTGAAATTCTTGGAATGATTGTGAATCTTTGAAAACCCTAGGGAAATATATAGAAGTTACTTGAAATTTAGCAGAGGTTAGATTCTAAAATTGTTGACAATTCTAAGAAATCCCAACCCAACCCTAACATATATCAGCCCATCTTCAAAAATCCTTAAAATTCTAGGGAAATCTTCTAGATATTTTTGAAATACTGAAAGAATGTGTTAATAATCCAAATCAATTCCAGAAATTCGTAGAAATCTCCTTTGGAATCTTTTGATAGACTTGGAAATATTTGAAAACTTAAAAAGCTTTAAAATATACTGAAAATCATCGAGATCGCGTTAAAAATCTAGATGTATCTCATATAAATCATAAAACTCTTTAAACTGCTAAAGCAATCTTTGAAAATCCACGGAAATAATTTAAATACTTAGAAATCATGGAAATGTAACCTGAAAAATGCGATATAAATTTTTGTCTTGTAAAATTAAATTTATTTTATAAAAGATCGATTATGGGAGACGCTAAATTTCGATGCATTTAACTAAATCTTAGATATCTTCCAATATCGGTAACTGTTAGGATATTTTTGGAGTACTGGAAGAAAGTCTTAATGTATCAAAATCAAGTCCAGGAGTCACTAGAACTACTTTGTACTCTTTCAATGAACCATGAAAATGTTCTAAATTTGCTTTAAAATAATCTGAAAAATGCGATAGAATGTTTTGTCATATAAAATTAAAGTTATTTCATAAAAGATCGATTATGGCAGACGCTAACACACCTTAATAAATTTCTTAACCATTTTTTCTTTCGTATATATCTACATTATATTTATAAAAAGAACAAACTGCATTTCTGTGTAAACGTATTGATTGATTTAAATCCGAACTAAGATGCTCGATCGTCAAAATGTTGCGTTCTCTGATAAACTGTACGAGGGTGTCATAGGTTATTTTGACTATCGAATAATTTAATTCATTTAATTCACAACTTGCGTCATAATTTTAAGTAATGATTAATTCAACAGTTTCAACGTTTACAATATTCAATTTAAAATATAAATGGTTTAATAACCATTAAAGATTTTCATGATTTCTTTGTTATTTAAAAATAATGAAATTTTAACTTTTATGGTATAATAAAAAATAATTCAAATTTGTTATCGCCTCTAGTTATTTATCTTATAATAAATCGTAATTTATAACCCACAGTAGTAAATTCTTAAATCGTCTCTGTTAACAAATTTCAAGTATTTATTTATTTAGATTCTAAAATATTTAATTACACAATTTTTATATAAAAAATTATTTAATCGTGAATCATAAAGAATGTAACTACTTAGTTATCTTTGAAATATATTAATAGTTATAAAAATTAACAGATAATTATTATGAAACGATAGATTAGAAAATATCCACTTATTACAAAAAATTTTAATATTTAACGCCCTTAAAATAATGAATTTTGTTCTGTATTTTTATTCTTTTCGTGAAAATTTGAAATAATTTAGTATTAAAATTATGATTATTCTCAATTCCTTATCAGTATACCGGACGTATAAAAACATTCACCATCGTTTTAGTAAGCACAGTCATAGAGACTGCGTCGAGCACGTAGGTGAAGTGTACGACGACTTGGACGACTTCACCGGTTTCAACGTCGTCGAGGACTTTCACGTCGATTACAATTCGCGAGAGAATTTTTTATAAAAAACAATAACATTTTTTGTAATTTTTTGCAATCGAATGGTTTTATCGGTGCATCAAAAACGATAATGGATACAAAGGTAGATAAAAAGAACAGAGTGTCAAAGTGCTGCCAGAGTGATTCTATGACTTCTATTAACGTGACACCAGAAGACAACGGGATTTGTGAAGCTTTAAACGATTTTGTTACATCCCCGGGTGATATCCTTACGAATCTAATGAACAACAATCATCAAAAAGATGATAAATACGCATACCATCGGTTCGCCAAAAAGGATCCGGTTGATATTAAATTTGAAAATGTTTATTATCGAGCGTTGATGATACATTTTCAATCAAGGATAAAAATTGGTAAGTAAAAATTGTTGTGTTTTTATCGTTTAATTGCGTTTAATATTGAAATTATAAACCTTTGAACTATATAACATATATATTTAAAGTCACCAATAAAAATTTGAAATCTTAATGATAATATTTTGTTTATAACCAGCACTAGTAACAAACTGTTGTTGGAAGTTGTTATTGAATTAATATGTGAACGAAAGTGTAAAAAAGAGAAATTATCCGGTTCACCAAATAAATTACATAAATTTTTATGTTTACATAACCCAGCGTATGATAACTCACTCGGAGAAATTAGAAAACATCCATGTAAATTACTAGAATTTTGCTTCATTCGCTTTCCTCTTCACATCCACTTTAACTTTGTTAGTGAAATCTTTTAAGAGAAAAATGTGGCAATCTGACCTGCATAAAAAAGTTGAAATAAAAACTAACTCGCTTAAAAAATTCTTATGTAACTTGACTTTTTTCGACTACAACCGGTTCTATTAGTTCTTAGTCACATTTTTTTTAATGACCATTTCCATTACCATAAACAGAACAGAGAACAATGAACGACAAGCACACATAAATTCAACAATATAGAAAAAGAATCAAAAATACACCAATAAAAACATAATAATCCATCTCTTTTTTCACTTTAATAATTTAAATTACTTCCGTTTGAATCGAAGAGAAAATATTTCAAGGTTATTTTACAAACGGGATCGGCGTTTTATTATTGTAATTCGCTCAATAAACGATTTATCACAACCACACACATGAAAAATATTTACTTGTATCGTCAATGTTAAAGTTAACTGTCTTTATGGTTTTAATTAGTAATGTTTTAAAATTATTTTTTAATCTCTTAATCTAATCTAACAATTTTTTTAAAAATTCATATTGATAGCTTAATTTTTTGATATCCTCGTATATCGTTCGGTAGAAAATAAGGAACTAAAATTCCTGAAATGTTCATTTTGAAAGTACAAATACCTTGCTCAACGTAGAACAAGTTTAAGATTTATTATCACTAAATTATTCATTTTCGAATTACTACCGAGAACGAAGAACAAGTTATACGCTTGATTAAATCGATTTATGTGTAGATGATTAAAAATGCTTTAATTTGATACCCAACAACCTACATGATCTATAAAAAATAATCAATTTTTGACTCATCTGGGCTATCTAATTCATCAGCTAGAATTTGGGATTATTGATTCTGAAAAGTGATGTCCACAAAAGGAATTTTATACAAGTCACACAATCAAAGTTGTTACCAAATAGAATACCAGTGTCTCTTAATTTGCCATCTTATTTATATTTATTGAAAACGACATCAATAAATCAGAGCTTGCTGAACAACTAACTTTTGTCACCTTATAATAGTTTCAGACACTTTTTGACACTTTCTGATACTTTATGACACTGTTTGATAACGCTACCTCTCTCTGATTTAGACTACTAAGATGTAGTTTAGGAGACTTTATCGACTGATTTTGGCACTATTTAACACATTCTCCCAGTTTTTTCCTCCACTTCACAATTTTTCAGAAAAGTTTAGCACAACTTCAACTGTTCTGCCACAACAATTTTATTCTTCTACAACTTTTGAGACATACTTGCACTTGTTAACATTATTTTTAACATTTTAACACTGTCACTAAATTGTCACAATATTTTGTTGATACTTTACGTATCCTTATAGGGATCCTAGTCTCCCACAGTTTCCTCCTCCATTCATCCTTCTTCTATTCAGCTGTCTAAATGCAACCTTAACCATCTTCTCTGTTATTCCATCCTCCCACCACTTTAGGCTTTGTTTGTATCCACTTGTTTGTTTTCTTGTGGTTTTGTATGCATCCTCTTCAACACATATGTATTTAGTGCTCGTCCTATATGGCCCGCCTTTCAGTATGATTTCAATTCTAGTCATGACATCCGACTCTCCGTGTTTTGTTAACAATTAGCATAATTTAAAGTTGTATCTGCGTTACCATGCTTCGTTTTGACACGTCCCTTTAATTTTCCTCTCGAAGATAAACAGGAGGTCGCCATCTCGCCTACTTATTATGCATGTCTCAGCACCGTATATAATTACGAAGAAGAATTGTAGCGCAGAAGTGAGAAGAGGGGTCGCGCTGAGTGAGAAGTGCTTTATTTCTAAGCTGTAACATGAGTAGGACAACCAAATTAATGGTTTACTTCGAAACTCTCTGTACCGATTGCAAGATTTTCTCCAAAGTCATGAATCAACCTCAATCTATCTCAATGCGTATCATTGAGGTAGATTATTGTCCAAGATTATTGTGCAGTTCTTGATTTAGTACCTATGTTAGCATTCCTCGCCGTGTTTTCCAGGCATATGTTGAATAGGAGAACTATTACTTGCTTCTATGTATATTCGCTAAGATGTTATTTTGTATTTTTATTCAGCATTAGACATTCCTTACTATCATTCTTACCAAATCTACCAGCTTTCTTGGGATACTGAGGTTGCATCATATAGTTTGGCTCACATAATACTGTCATAAAGAGGCTTGAACTCGAAGCTCTTCTCCAAGATTTGGAGTAGAACAAATATTTTGCCATACTTAGCCTGAAACCACTTTGGTACTCTCCTAGGTGTTTTTCCTTATAAAGAAGCAATCTTTTATATAGTACATTGGAGAATAGTTTATATGCTGTATCTTGAACAGGAGAACTATTACTTGCTTCTATATTCGCTGAGATGTTATTTTGTATTTTTATACAGCATTAGACATTCTTTACTATCATTTTTATCAAATCTACCAGCTTTTTTGGGATGCTGTCATAAAGGGGTTTGAACTCGAAGGTCTTCTTCAAGGTTTGGAGTAGAACAAATATTTTGCCATACTTAGCCTGAATTCACTTTGGTACTCTTCTAGGTGTTTTTCCTTATAAGGAAGCAATCTTTTATATAGCACATTGTAGAATAGTTCTATCCAAATGGTAAAATTAAACATCGATTATGTTTGTTCCACGCGCTTATTGGCAAAAAGCCACAAACAGAATACTGAAAAAAGGACTGCTAAAACTCTAACCTCCTGAAATAGCTGCGACGAGAAGCTATAATATTTTACAAAACTGCTAAAGTACAAGGAGTTAATGTCAGCGTTCAAGGTCATCTTTGATCTTTTCCTATTGGCTTTTTTAAACTGTTATCTGGTTTTAACAACAAATACGTCTAAAAGGCATTAAGCAACATCCTGGATCAGTTGGAAACATTTAATTCGTTTTTAACATTAGTTAGAAATAAATTTTACTGCGCTTAATATTTATCACAAGTTGACTCATTGCAACAAGCTGAAACATTTCTTTCCGATTAAACAAACAAAGACAATTAAAATATAAAAAAGTTTAAATGTCTGTATTCTAATTATCAGAGTTAAACATAAACAAAAATAAATTCAGGACTTACTCAACGTTTGCGAAGAGACTAAGCCAATTAAAACAATTAAGAATGATTAGATCAATTAGATGATGTAGGATTGTTTCGTCCTTGTTCAAAATCACTCTTTGCGCAACGATTTATTAATGGCTAAAATGATTTTTAATAAATCATAACGATAAAATTATTCCAAAGGTCAAATATTTTAATAATTAAGGTTTATTAAATAATTTTAAAACCACATTGAATAGAAAATCCTATTAGGATATTAGGATAGGAAAGTTTTCGAAGATTATAAATTTAAAGTCAAGGTGAAAAGAGGATAATTGGTTTAACGGTGTCACTCGTAACGGAATAAATTAGTTTTTGGGATTTTTTATTTTAATAAAATCTTTTTAATTACACCCATAAATTGTTTTAATTTGAATTTTTACAGAACGCAAAGAAATTTTACATGGAGTTAGCGGCGAATTTAATTCCGGCGAACTTACCGCTATTATGGGTCCATCAGGAGCTGGAAAAAGTACATTACTCAACATCTTGGCTGGATATATGTAAGTTTAATTTTATGTTAATTACATGATTATGTTAAGTAATTAATAGAATTAAAATTGTAAAAACTTTGTTCGAACCGATCGGGTTTTACCTTGACTTTGAATCTTATTATGTATGCGGTTAACGTAAAATCGACCTTGATACAAAATCTATGAGGAAAAAAATTCCTTGAATCAATATGTAATTAATTTTTTTATGATTCATTTAGCACGCGAGGAAGCGAAGGAACCATAATGATGAACGATTCTGTTCGCGATGAGAGTCCAAAATTTCGAAAACTGGTTGCTTATATTCCTCAAGATGAAGAACTCCGATTGAGTTTGACAGCAATTGAAAATATGACAGTTGCTGCTCATTTAAAGCTTGGCTATTCAGTTAGCACGGAGTATAAAATGAAACAGGTTTGTAATACTTTTACTTAATTTTTTGGTTGGAAGGTCATCTCAATTTTTTTAAAAATGTGTCAAGAATTTGATTGCAAAAATCTTACAGGTGAAAGGATTTAAAAAAACTTGGTAAAGTTTAATCGGTCAAAAATTACAATTACTTGTTCAACAAGTAATTATTATGTTAAATAAATCTAGTTTACATTCAAGGTAACGTCTCTTTTTATAAATACTGTGATGTTCCCATAAAATATTCAAAAAACGTTTATTTCATGTAAGTTGACCTAGGATTACTGCAAATAAGTTAACGTGTTTAACAATAATAAATTTTTCTTTTATAATTTTGTTTATAACAATTTATTTTTTGTTAATAAAATTAAGCTTCTGCTTTATCGTGGACTGCAGTCAAGGCCATCGATAAACAATTTATAAATCGCACAATAGAAATCGGTATAAATATTTTTTTTAAACTCCAAAGTACGTTTCACACGCGGGTTTATATACTTTCCGATAAGAAATTAAAAATAAACCTTCGCAATTCCATTGAACTATGATCAAGTGACTAATCTCAACTTAAAATAATTAATTAATGTTATTTTTAATTATTTTTTTTTAATTATAGGTAGTACAAATCATGCAACTTTTGGGTTTACAAGAATGTCACAACACAATGACACAAAGATTATCAGGTGGTCAAAGAAAACGGTTAGCAATCGCTTTAGAATTGTTAAGCAACCCTCCGATTATATTCTTGGATGAACCAACAACGTAAGTTTATATTTCAAATTCATTCAATTTAATGATAAGTTTGTTGAACTTTTCTTGGACAAGGTTACGAGAAGAAAGTTGTTACCCAACGAATCGTAGCTGGATGAAAGTGCACTTGAAAGGCAAATTTCTCTTCTTGAAAGTAGCAAAATTTACCACTTTAGTCCTCGTAACCTGTTTTAAATTTTAATTTCCGTTTATATTTTTCGTTTTGCCATCAATTTTTAAGCAAATCTTAATAGATAATAAGTTCAAAATTCCAATATGACATAATCAAAAATGAAACAATCGAAGTTTTTATCAAAAAAAAAATGATAACACTTTTTTGTTGTCAAGCGATTATACCAAGAGAGGAAATGACCTTAACTTATTAAATGACTAATGTGATCATAATGAGATCATTAATGATGATTTGCCCAACGGAAATGTTTTTTTAATAACACTTTACGCAACATTTTCCTGTTCTGCATAATTACCAGACGCGTAAACAACAAAATTCGTATAATAATTTGAATATAAAATAATTGGCCTTTACATTGAAGTTGTACCAGTTTAACCAATTACCTTTCTTAAATAATCCGATAATAAAAACAAATTAAATAAAACGTTTTAACGCGATGAATCAAGTATTTAATTATCATCACAAAAAAAAACAGACTTTTTATTTGCATTAAATTGTTAACCTTTAAAGATAGTTGGTCGTATTAATCACCGCAATTATTCTACGACGATTTCAAATTTCTTCAAATTCATTTCACCTATTATTGGTGATTAGTTAACTGACTACTTAGTTGCATGTGTGTAAAGTCTGTTTTATTGTTGTGACAAGTTATCAATTACAATTTTTCCGAGTGTTATCTAAAATAGACAATGTTAGAACTTAAAACAATATTCCTAGTAGTAAGTGAGATAAAAAGCAGAACACTTAATATTATGTCATTTATATCAAAAACGATTCGTCAATAAATTATTATTTGCTTATTTATTGGTTTCCTTAAGTAATTGGGTTTCTATCAAAATATTTGTTGAAGATGAGGTTTTAGACACTTTATGATACTGCTTGATAACGCTATTTCTTCTCTGATTTAGACTACTAAGATGTTTCTTATTTTTTGGTGCTTTAGGACACTTTATCAGTTGGTTTTGATACTATTTAACACATTTTGACTGGTCCTTCCTCCACTTCACATATTTTGAGAAACGTTTCGCTCTGCCATAAAATTTTAGTGTTCTACAACTTTTGAGACATACTCTATAACCTGTTGGCATTATTTTTAACATTTTGGCACTATCACTAAATTGTCAGAATGTTATGATAAGTGTCAACAAAATATTTTGACAATTTCTAAGTCTCTAAGACACTTTTTGACCCATTTTGCAGTTTTATAATATTTTCCCCACACTTCTTAGCACTTCATATCACTTTATTGACAATTTTGACTACATTTAATCTGTAATCATCATTTTATTTTGTGATTTTATTGTCATGGATTAACATTTTTCAGTATCAGGCATCATCTTAATACATAATCATAGATAAAACCAAATTGACGTAGAATGAGTTTAGATGATAATTCATTCCGCAAAGCCTAATACATCTCTACAAGAATAGTGTTGACACTCTCTCTAATGTTTAGCTGCTGTGATAGAATGAGTGAAAAACCACAGAGACATGATCTGACGCTATTTTAATGTCAATAATCTTTTGTATGTTAACCAACCCAACAAAATTGATTTGTGTTTATATTGTGTTCAACTATTTTACGGTAAAAATAGTTGGTTCAGTATTTGAAGGGATTAACCACTTTGCTTGGTATTTGTGATTACCATTATGTGTTATGGTTATTGGCATCATAAAACCAAATCATTCATTAGGGCTTTTTACTTTCGATCTTGCTATCACATCTGGTATTCTGACATGCACTCTTAATTTTGCTCATAATTGCATGTGTCAATAATCAGGTAAATTTTTTTAGTAGTGTGCAGTCTTGGAACCAGTTCTGTCATCTATTCAGTATTCTTACCTCCTTACGCAGCTCGATTTGTGTGCATTAAACCCACCCTGACTCCATCCATAGTTTTTCTAAAACCTGTTTGATGCGAAACACCACGCTCCCCAAAAGCTTGAACATACTCTACTAGGTTAATTTTTTACTCCTTGATAAATGTAGTCGATTTAATTAAAGAGAAAAACTGCATAATGCCTTGAAAACTTCCTCCTTTGTAGAATGTAGAATTTCCTGCTTCTCCTTTGGAGAGAGAGAACTTGTCTAAAGTGGTAATTTTGCTTTGCAAAAACTTCGTATTTATGGTGATAAGTAGGTAAACATCTCGTGCTTCGTCTCTTACCTGAAACTGGTCTAAATACCACGCCTCAAGTGACCTATTAAACAAAAGATCAAAAGAATGAGATGAATATATTTGAATATGTGCCAGAATATGTTTTCTAAAAAGTAATTTTATAAATCTTATTTTATTTAATGTATTTTTCAGAGGATTGGATAGTTTGTCTTGTACTCAATGCGTTGAATTGCTCAGAAAACTTGCTAGAGATGGTCGAACTGTTGTTTGCACAATTCACCAACCTTCAGCCCTTATTTTTGAAAAATTCGATAAATTATATGCTTTATCCGATGGTAACTGTATTTATAACGGAACAATTCCCGATTTGGTTCCTTACTTAGGAAATATTGGATTACAATGTCCCAATTACCATAACCCAGCTGATTTTTGTAAGAATTTTTTATTTTTTGTTGTATTAAATTTGTATTAAAAATTTTTGTATTAAATTAGTGATGGAAGTTGCGATTGGAGAACATGGAACTACCGTACAACAACTAGCTGATTACCATCGAGAGAGCGAATTAAAAGCTATTGAGCAATCGGAAAAAGGTAGCGTAAAAATTTATGTTTAATACCACAAATTTCTCGGTAAAATCGTGATCGGAATCGATAAATAAATCGATGATCAACATTACATAACCCATTCCAACCTACTTTTATTTAATCATATTTAATAATGTGTTTTATTTAACGACTTCTTTAAGTATGCGGAAAAGATTTTAAAAAATCTTTAGAATGAAAATTTAAATTAGAAAATTAACTAATTCATATTCATATCTAATAACAAATTTAGTCCTTGAACTATTCCTAGGAAGGTCAAAATTTAATCTGCGTGATCATTTTTATGCGTACTATCTAAATCATAATTCAACTTGATTTAATTAAAAGACTATTTTATAATTAAATAATTTACAGTAACTGAAAAAAATAAAGAAATAATGGATAGTACAAAGACGATTCCTGTGGATACAGCTCCTCAACCTGCGAACGTATTGATGCAGTTCCTATTGTTATATAAAAGGAATTTGGTCATGGCAACACGAGAATATGTACGTATTTGTGTTGAAGAAATTGCGTAACATTTAGCTTATATAACCGTTTACTTTTCAGTCCCTGTATGTGAATAGATTAATGGCTCACGTGCTGATAGCGTTCCTCTTTGGGTATCTATATTTGAATTGCGGAATAGGCGCAAACACGGTCTTAGCCAATTATGTTTATTTGTACGGATCTCTTCTTCTTGTTGTATATACTGGACAAATGTCGGTTACTTTATCTTGTAAGTATAACTTTTCTATTTCAACAGAATTAATTATTATTACACATAAGTAATAATTTTTATTAATTTTAGTTCCTTTGGAAATGAAGGTATTAGCTCGTGAACACTTTAATAGATGGTACAAGCTAACTCCTTATCTACTTTCTGGTATATTAATCGAGATTCCATTTCAGGTAAAACAAGAATTAAATTATATAATTTTTCTTTTATTTATTTTATTATTTTATTTTACTTTTTAGCTCCTTTGTACATGGTCTTATGTAGCAATAACGTATTGGTTAACAAGTCAACCAGTTGATCAACGATTATACTTCTTCATGGCTTTCTGCACCTTATCAACATTATGTGCTCAAGCTTGGGGATATTTCATTGGAGCAACAACACCGATTAAAATCGCTGTGTTCATCGGACCAGTTCTGGCTTGTCTTTTCTCAATTTTCGGATTTTGCATTCGCTACTACGATACTCCGGTTATGTTCAGATGGATGTTCCATATCAGTTATTTCCGAGCTGGTTTCCAAGGTCTTGTTTACTCCGTTTATGGACTTCCAAGGCCAAATCTTTACTGTCCAGAAACTGAATTATATTGTCACTATTTAGAACCGAAAAAATTCCTCACCGAGATGGAAGTAATCGATATCAATTTGTGGTCAAACATTTCCTTTATTATCGTTGTTAGTTTCTTGATGCACGTTGCAACCTACGCTGCCGTTTGGTTCAAATTGCACAAACGATAAGGCGAGTACCAATAAAAGTCAAGATAAAGCTGTGAATTTACATGAACAAAAGTATTTCATTTATTTAGTAAACCGGTCTTCTTAAGTTTTATTTATTGTTAATTTTGTTTGCTACTTTCTTTAATCACAAAAACGTTCCTTAGATACGGATGATAACATGTATTAGATGATTTTATTTTGAATGTATAGTTTTTTATATTTAAATTAAATTAAATAAAGTTAATTTTTGATTCACAATAAACCAAAGATTAAATTTGGCAAATTTGTGGCAATACAAAGTATTTTTCATTGTAAACATTTCTTTTGTTAGAATAGATTTATTTTTTTAAATAGTATTTTGTACATTTTATACGAGTATTGTATCTATACTTTTTCTTGTTAGAACTAGTCACGTTTAAGCAAAAAAAATAAATAAATGTACATTCTGTATAAAGCTTATTGTTCTTTTTTTACGTAGACTTATTAATATTTGTTATTAATCACTAAATGACATCATAAATCACGTTGTAATTGAATCATAAATGATTGGAGATTGAAAACTCAACATAACAATGAATCACTTAATTTGGTCATTTGGACTTTTCCCTCGATGTTTGTTTCCAAACTGTTCTTTGTTTTGTTAAATGCTTTATGGTGTATTTAGAAAATTCGCGCGAACTAGCATAAATGCAATAATAAATAATTGGTAGATATTTTTTTGAGCTTCTCGACAATTACCATTACTACAATGAAGATCAGCTCATAATCAATATAATGTATTCTCTTTGAAACTCAATGTAAATCTTTATGGTTTATGTAGAACAACAATTTTAGCAATAAAATTTTGGACGCTCCAAAATTGAATAAATCAGACGACATAAAATTGAACCATTTTCCCTGGATTATGATCTTTGTCTTCTCGACGTTTACCTCCAAGCCTTTCGCCTTTTGATGTATATACTGATGCAAAAATATCTCTCTAGAGAGCTGTGCGTCTCCTTCTCTCTCTCTATCAGCTGTTCTGTGATACCTCTCCTCCTCATTTCTTCCCACATCTTCCTTTTATCCACCTTATTAAAACGCACCTTCAGGTCTATGAACAATGCAACTTTCCTCCCTTCTTGTTCAACTCCCTATCTGCCAGTTGCTTCAATATGTATACATTGTCAATTACCTCTGTTCTTTTCCTGAATCCCGCCTGCCCATCGGGCAACATTCCCCCTCTCTCCATTTCCTCTTCTAATCGCCGCAGCAGTACCTTGGCATATATTTTAAATGTCATGCCCTAGTACTTGCTTATAAATGAGCAGTTTATTGTGGACGGCAATAAACTGCTACCAGCACATTTTTCTATATTTTAGATTAAACATGGGCTTTCCAGCGTACCCTTTGGTTTAAGATCATGCTCAGGTATTTTGCCGAATTAGCATGTGGTATCTGGGCATCATTTATTCTGATGGGTATACCCTAATGTATAACAAGTAGAGTACTGGGCCCCACATTACCTAATGCAAGCACATTATCTTGTGGCACTCCAGCCTGGGTCTTTCTTAAGTTAGAATAGGCCTCGTCCTGCATTATTCTAAAATATCTTCCTGTAAGATATGATTTTTATATCAAACTCAACCTCAACTCGTGACTTCCATGAAGCAACTATGAAACCAAGATATGATTTTATTAATTGAGAGTGTTGTTGTTGCAAAATTTTATTCAATTTATGAAGTAAGCCTTCGTGTCAGACTTTATGGGCTACATCTAGGAATATTGCAGAGCAGAATTCCTTTTCCTCGAAAGACTTTTCAATAATATTATTTCTAATCCTGCGTATCTGGTCTATTTTAGAGTGACTTTCTCTGAACCCGAATTAGTACGAAAGGATTAGGTTCTTCCGATTATGAGTTATTTAAGAAATTGAATAAACCGTTTAGAGAATGTTAATCGTTTTGCATTTGCAACTTTATCAGTATTAATATGTGTTCGAATCATTTGAATATGGTATGGCGTCATTCCGAGATCGAGTCGTAGTATTCCTAAAACTACTAAAAGCTACTAATCTGGTACTTGACTTTCCTGGGCTACTAATCATTGCGCCTTTAACATTTTTGATGTTAAAAATGACCCTTACAGTCATTAGTCGTAAAATTTGTAACCGATTGCGCACAAATTTGTCATGCATCCGATAGATAATTAAACACTTTGGAAGAGTCTTCTGATCCACCAGTTCATTCAGCAGCTGGTAGCCATCTCTCTTTCCAGCTCAACATCTCAACTCCATCCATCATTGTACCACTTAAGACTTCTGTCAGTCTTATTTTATTCAATAAAACTTCATAAATCTTCTCCAACTCTGTTCTTACTCTTCATATCGTGTCATCCTAGTCTTTCCTTTCTTTTGGGACAGGAACTAATTTCTGGAGCAAACCTGGAGACCTCCACCATTTTGTCCATGCATTTCTATCTCATCCAGTAGACGCCTCATAACTCCGTCTACCAAAGTTTACCACTCATTATATTCCAATTTGTCCTTGCCATGTTTCCATGTAACCTTTGGATGAAGAAAACTTATTAAGTTTGAAATATGCTCCCCAACGTTTACCATTGCACAAAGTCCTATCAATATTTAACTCTCCATTCAACATACAAATTCAACATTGCCATGCATTCACACCTATTCTGCTATTGTTGTTGTCATATTTATCTTACTAATAATACTTCCATTTAAACCGTTACCTTTATTTAGTTTGTAACAATAAAGAATGAGAAGTGATGTAGTAAAATATGCTCTAGTTGCGACATCTTCCATTTCTTGCAAAAATGTTTAAAATTTACAAACTACAGAAATCTATTGTCAATAAAAAAGTATGAAACCAATTTAACTGAAACGTATTTTTAGTTGCTCACTTTCTGTTCTCAATCTCTTTTTACATTTTAAAATATGTTTTTGAATACTAACAAATAAAATCGTTTTCTGAGATTCCACTAACTCAAAACACTTAAAACTTTACGTCAAAAGATATATCCAAAAATTTTGTAATCTCTCTTAGCAAAATCATTTACGACATAATGAACCGATAATGATCGTGTTATCGCGAAACATTTCATCTACATCTGCCATAATTACGAACTGATTTGTGTTTGTTTCATTAATGTAAAGGCAAAGCGATAATAAGATTAAAATGGAAAGAAAGTTTAACAAGTAATGACGAGCCAATTTGAAATGTCGTTTGCATTAATGAGGTTCCCATACGAAAAAGGCGACGATTTGACTTTTGATCTCAGCTCAGTGACCTTAACAATTGATTCGATAAAGTCTGATTATCTTGGAAGTACCTCACCGAAAGCTTAAGGACAAAGATAAAGAAAACCACTTCATTTGTAACTATTCGCATTCCATTGACGTCTAAGAAAACGATTAAAAAAAAATGATGTTTTTAAACAAATAAAAGTTTTGCAATCAAATTTGTAGGTATACAAAAAAGATTTTTTTTTTAATTTGATAATAAAAATTGAATTAGTGTTTTTCGAAACATATTTCGAAATCCAATTGTTTAGGATTTCTCCTCCTCTATATTTAAATCGCGATAAGTTGTTATCTGTTGTCGCATTGTTCATTCCTCGAGGTGAACAGTTAGCCGTTCATGTATGAAATTGTTGTTGGTGGCGGTATAAAAACACAAATGATGATGAACACCTGTACAAAACTAGAGATATAATGTTTTCGAGGTGCCATTGTCTCATGTTAGATACTCAATGTGAAAACGCGCGGTCTCCTCGCAGCTGCTGTTAATGATAGCGGGAGTCGTCGTCGCCGGCGTCGTTTAGTCGGGATTCAGTTGAAGACAAGAACTCGCGTCGAGAGGTGTATGTGTCTCGATCAGTGCCCCTACACAATCAAAAAATAAATAAAACATCACAGAACAATGTGCCAAATTTGTCCGATTTTGACTTAAATTGGTCTCGAAATGATGGATCAGAACGGGTCTGCTCAACAACCTTCTATCCTCAGACATTTAAAACGACCGGATTCATTACGTTTGGAATTATTAACAATTCCTGAAGATTCAGTGAGAAATTCGTTTATCCAAGAATCTCCTGCTGAAATTAGCCTCGGATTTAGAAACGTTTCCTATACCGTTCAAGAGGGGATTTTTAAAAATAGTAAGTTCCAAATATACAAAAATTTATTTAATTTATTATCAATTAATAAGAGTTGATAAAATATTTCCTGATACGTTTTTGTTTAATCTCTAAGCAAACAAATCTGGGACACTTAAATATATTTAAATCTTTCGATTAAAATTTAAAATTATTTCTCTTCCCACTCAATTGGGTGATTATTTAGGTTTCAGATTTTTTCTAGCGGAAATTGGGTTCGGTTTCAATCCTTTCTTTATTTACACTCTCAGCTGATTCATCGATTTCTCCTTTGTGCGCGAACGAGATAGCGAGAAAACTCCATTTCACTCGGAGACTTTACCACGTGTTCAGCCAAAACAAAGACCTCAGGTTCTCGGCTTATGCAAGACCGCACGAGGCCATCATATCCTAGATTGTTTGGATTAATTTTTATTTTAATTTAGATCGTATCGTATAATTTCGTATTGTTTTATTTTTTAAACAAAACGCTTTTATACGCGGTTGTTTATTGTTTTTTAATCATAAAAATTAATAGTTTTATTAATAAATTTCAAGCGAATAGAAAATGTAAGAGATAAAATAACGTTTAATTTATTTCTTATACCAAACAGTTTTCGTTTTCATTTTTGACCTCCTTTCAAATTCTTATATTGCGAATTAAGTAGAGTAAGAAAAAAATAAATCAATCAACATAAAATCACAACGTTACAATTTGTCGTTTGATAAATCACAAAAAATTATGGGCAAAAAATAATTAAGAGAGCATGAAATGTCTTGAACTTGTGACATGTTTTTACAAAAATTTCTTTCTTACATATTTCGGAGAAATTTAGCTCAATAATAAACGTCCTTCTTATGCTTTTCATCGTTCTATAAAAGCTATTCCCACCGCTATTTTCTTAAGTTCGTGCCCTTACTGCCTCAGGATAACCTCATCCCCAACCCCATTGGTACACTGTGATTTTTCCTACGTTTTGATACTTCCAGGAATTGTTCCATACCTATTCCGATTGGCAATCTTGGAAATTGACGAACTGACATCAAAGCACATTATAAAGTCCTTCTGTTAGATACGCAACATAAAACCGGTAATGCAAAAAAACTTCATCGATCTCGTAATATTTTTAATTTTACACTGAAATTGAAAATTGAGGGTGACAAAATCTGCATCCTAAAACTTTAAGTGTTGAACAAGACCAAATCTTATTGATTTCCACAAATGTGATTCCTTTAGACTCGAGACAACAGTAAACGGGTTGTGTTCAGAGAATGGCGGGTTATACCCTCACGATTGCGTAGCTTGGATTGATGGGATAGGATGATAATTCTGCCCAAAGAATAACTGAACGACTCTTTGTGATCAATCGAACTTATCAAGTATACCAAAATAATAGTATACTTAATAAATACCGATGCCAATTTGTCTGTGTTCCCACGTCCCTGAAGCTCCACGGATTCAAAACAGCTGTGGATGCGCGTATTTTTGAGTTGCTGCTAAAAACACACTTTCCACAATCTCCTGTATAAATACCACGAAATTTACAGGACTTGAACCTGCAGGAATTGTAGAGAGCGTTAACGTAAAACTTGAAGTAAAGCATCACATTCATAAGACTCCTGAACAACTTGGCACGACTAAATTTGAACGCCTAAATCTCCTAAATTTAGAAGCACTAGTTTGGCCATTGAGTACTGGTGAAGTTGTATAGTGTTGTTAAAGTGCTATCTTCAAACCCGCATAAATCTCAATTATGTCTGAATTTAATGGGAGAGACAACGTTCCCTTCAAATCTGCAATAAAACCGCATTTAGTCTTCGATAAGTTTGCATCAGAGTTCTATTGGGTTTGTATCAAGGCAATATTAGGTCTTCAAGGATACATTTTGCATACTTTTCATTAAATCTTCTTCAATTTTTCCTGAACTAAAGGATGTACAAAATCAAGTCTCCATCAAACTATTCATCAAGACTTATTTTCTTTTGTCAACTCTATATCAAGACATCTTGAAAACTGCATTAAATTGCATCTAGTCTTTTTTAAATATTCATCGAAACATCTTCAATGTATCAGTCTCTATTATGTCTACTAAGTTGGTAGCTGCACCATATTATCATAAGTTTGCATTAAGACACTTTTAAAGTTGTATCAAATCTCCATTATGACTGCTAACTTAATAAATGTTAAAAAAACTTATTACATCTTCATCGCGTTAGTATCAAACCTGCATCGTAACTTGATCAGGTCTGATCAAAGTTCCATGGAGTTTACATCAAAGCTGTATTTGGTCAAGTTTCAATCAAGTTTTCAGGAAAACTATTCTCATCAAAAGACGGACTTATAAACTAGAACGTTTCCTGTAATCAACCTATACCACTCTCGTTAATGATTATGGAAATGCCAGTTCCGTTTTAGAAGAACGTACTGGTGATTCCATCAGACGAAAATTCGCATGAACCTCAACCACAACCCAATAATTATACATAATCACTAATCCAATTATTTCAGAATGGGATTAATCGCTAAAGATGTTCTTTTAGTCGAAAGATATACCAACTGCTAACTGCTGCAAAACCCAATAAGCGTTGTCTATGGTCATTTATCTTAAGTTTCTGGATTAGTTGGGTTTTATAAAATTTTACAAGCTGAAATCGCAGAACGGCCAAGTTTTCATGTGAACTAGAGATACAACAGTTCGAGTTTTCGAGCAGACCCTGCATTGCGGTATATGCAAATAATGTTCAGTTGGGTTGGGTAGCAAAATTTTTGACAGTGATTGATTTAACAACATGGCCACTATAACTTAACGGTGCTCCTATTGAAGGACCTAAGTAAGTTTCAGGCGTCCCTATTGCAAGACCAAAGCATTTTTTGTGCCTGAGTATTATTTCATAATTTGAGTTTAATAAACTCATTAAAAGACAGTTCTGCGAGTTCATGTAACAGTATTGCTCTCTTGCACTTTTGCTCTCAGTCGCAAAAGCAGTCGCATAGATATCGAGAAAAATACAAAAATGTGATAATTTGACGAACTAGTTGTTTTTTAAAGTTGTTGATGGTAATATTGGGGAATCTGAGCATGTTACAAGAAAACTTTTAGAACAAAAGTTATTGCAAATTGTATACCTAACAATACTGCTTTCTTTCACTTTTACTCTCAGACGCATAAATATTGAGAAAAGTACCAAAATGTGAAAATTTGACAAATTAGTTATTTTTTCAAGTGGTTGATGGTAGCGCTGGGGAATCTAATCATGTTATAGAAAAACATTTAGAATAAAAGTTGCTGCAAATTTTATGCCTAACAATATTGCTCTCTTGCACTTTTGCTCTCAGACGCATAAATGTTGAGAAAAATACGAAAATGTAAAAATTTTACGAATTAGTTATTTTTTAAGCTATTGATGGTAACACTGGAGAATCAGAGCATGCTATAAAAAAACTTTTAGAACAAAATCTGTTGCAAATATTATGTTCAACAATACTGATTTCTTCCAGTTTTACTCTCAGACGCATAAATATTGAGAAAAGTACAAAAATGTGAAAATTTGACAAATTAGTTATTTTTTCAAGTGGTTGATGGTAGCGCTGGGGAATCTAATCATGTTACAAAAAAACTTTTAGAATAAGAGTTGTTGCAAATTTTATGCTTAACAATATTGCTCTCTTACACTTTTGCTCTCAGACGTATAGATATCGAGAAACCTTTATTACAAACTAGTGCAAAGTAGCTTTTGTGTGACTTTCCTGTTGGATTGGAATTTATTTATATCCATTTAATTAACTCGTCAAAAAAAATCGATACATTAATCATTTGTTTCGAAACTTTTTTAAAAATTTTGTTGGTTATATCCTTATATACCTACTTCTTGAGTAACAACCAGGAAGTAATTGTATCAATAAAAAAATGATGTTATTACAACTGAGAACTTTCTAATCAGAAAGGTGTGTGCTATAAAAGTTTAATATTGAAAATAATTGTTGCAAATTTTGTGATCAATAATGGTTTATGTTAAAACTCCCATATAAATTATTACATTTACCAATTTACTCGAAAATTAACTACTTTAAAATTACGTAATTATTATAAATATTCTATTACTATCAATTTCAATCAGTGTTTAACGAAACTTTATTAATAAAAATTCCCCACTTATTTATACACGCAGAATCCTTATCATTTCTCGTAACAAATATAGAATAATTATCAGTTGGAATATAAAAAATGTAATAATAACAACTTCTTTTACTCCTTTTTTTTATCAACTCACTCGAACCTCGAATAAAAACCTAGTCCCGTTGTTACATTAAAGTTTAAATGAAATGTAGGTCAATTTTAGGTCATTGAAGAACCGAGCCAAGCTGAAATTTGGCGCGTTTGCCACTTGACCTCAACCACTACTACCAGAAATCGATAGAGCCGTCCTCATCCTTGTAAAATTCAATTTAAATTTGACATTGTTAATTGTTTTCAATTGAAAAAAAATCATGCGTTGTTTTACTAATCGTCTCGGAATGCCGTCTTGAAAATTTTAAACGAAATTAAAAAAAAAATTAAAGTATACAAGTTTAAAGACGTCGGCTTCTTCTTATTGACCTAATTTATCAGTTCCAATTAAATCATTAAAAAGACTTGAATAAATTTTTATTAATTTTATTTTAGGACGAAAATTGTTATTAAGAAGTGTTAATGGAGATTTTATTGGCGGCGAACTTACGGCTATCATGGGACCCTCAGGTGCAGGAAAAACCACCTTAATGAATATTTTAGCAGGTTATACGTAAGTAAATAAATTTTTTTATTAAATATATTAATAATCGAGATCAATTTGAGTACTTAAATAATTTTCAGACGCCACTTGAAGTGTTTTTTATCGTCACTTATCCGATAATGATTGTTACAATTTAAATTATCGATTCACTCATTTTAGAAAATTGTTAATCTGGAGACAAAGAAAATGAACTAATCCTCTTTTGGTCTATCACCATTTAAATTGTCCTCTTTCTCTCCGTTTTAGCGGAGGAGATATATCTACGTTTCAAAGTCCAAGAACTAAAAACAAAAACGTCCTTGAGTGTTAACTTTTAACATTTTTGAGGACTTTCGATTAAAATTTACATAAATTAATAATTTTAAATAATTTTTGTTAATTATTATACGGTTATTAAAAAATCAAATTTGCGTAAATCAATTCATTTTTTTTTCTGGTTTATAATTTATTTAGTTTCCTCGCAAACAAAGTCCAAAGTTTTTGTGAGAATTGTTTTGAGTCGAGGATACGATTAACAAATAAATGATACAAACCGACTCAGCTGTTCTCTGCGTCAGACCTAAAACCAGGTAGTAAATTTTTTGTAAGAGTGAAAAACGGTCGTTCGGTGCACGTGCACTCAACGTATACAAGACTTTATACAAGGTTTATCGATCCTCGTTTCTCAGTGCAAATGCACTGGATGTAAACTTTGCGGTACACGTGAACTAAAAAATATATCTAAAACGTTATTCAAATAAACGTTATGTTATCTTTATTATTTTTTATGGCAAAAAATGTGGTAGGCAAAAAAAAAACAGTAAACAAAAATATTAATTAACATTTATACCGTGTATGTGAAGTTATCTTTATGAGTTTATAATTAAACAAAAAAATTTTTCATCATAAATAAAACATAATTATCTTTATTTATAATTTCCAGAACAACTGGCGTTACGGGAACACTTTCAGTTAATTCAAAAAAGAGGAATGAAGATCTCTTTCGGAAACAATCCTGTTACATTATGCAAGATGATAATTTACAACCCTTATTAACAGTAAATGAAGCAATGCATATAGCAGCCCATTTAAAATTGAATCCAGGTACACCTTTAGAAAATAAAAAATTAAAGGTAAATTATTTAATATCTTTGGTAATCCATGTTGCGAGTTATAAAAGTAAATAAATAAAATTTAGGTATTTAAATAAAAGATCAGTTCATTCGTCTTTGTAGTGTGTTTTTTTGTTATTTTATCATTATTACTTAAAATTTTTTTAACTTAGGGTAGAGGAACCTGTTATGGCCACATTTAGTACTCTTCAACTTTTAAAATTCACACTTTATTTGTGTATCAAAGATCAATTTCCCCATTTATGGCCACCAAAACCGCTGTTATGGCCATAAAAGTTTCCATTTATGGCTACCATAATTTGTTTGTCTACAGCACTACAGAAAACAATCGTCATCTTTCGACCAACAGTTTTCAGTTCTGGTTCTGGAAGCGTTCCAAGGATTTCTTCCTTTGTAATGGCACATTTGTCATTATCTAACACTTTGAAATGTGTCTTAGCCTGATCTAAGCTTGTTAGACATTGTACTTCAAACTCATTGTCATCTAACACGCATAAAATTTTTGCAACATACTTGTAATGGACCATAGCTCTTTTTCCAACGCTCTTAAATGAAGCCAAAACGTAATCACCTTCCTGCAGATCTGTAACTCAATATATAAAAATTGTTTCTTGATTTTCTGTCTTAATATCGTCAACATTGTCTAAGCTGCTTCCACTCTTCTTCATCCTCTTCTTCTTCTAAACAGTTTTTCTTTGTCTTCTTTGCCTTCTGCGCTTCCTCTACTTTATTTTTTGGAATTTCTCTTCNCATCACCTCTATCTCCGAAACTGAATTATTTAATATCGTTGGTAATGTTTCTTGAGGGAGTGCAGATTCCTGAATGGGAGGGTCGGGGGCATTTGTTCCATCACTGTGTGCCTCAACTTCATTTGCTACCTGTAGCCAAAAGTCAAATAACATCACAGCTTCAACACTGCCATCCCAATCATAGCTATTTCTTGCATTTTTAACTGCATTAACTGTTAAAGAAGACCAGGATCAATTATTTTAGATTCAATGTATTTAAGATAAGGTTTCACACCCTCAACATCAGTTATTGTTTTAGCCTGTACATCCCGAATAATTATTTTGGAAAAATCAACATTGTTGACATCAAACGGAAACAATCCAGTTGATCTAAAGCCTGATTTGACATTATCAAGCATTGTAGGCTCATTTATTAAATTTGAAAATATCGCTGGAACATCTGCTTTTGAAATTTTCTTTCCATCATGATCAATGCGCCATTTGCGACATCTTCTTTAGTGGTCCAAACACTAAAGAAGTAAGATATGAGTAGAGTTTGGGTAAAGTGAAATCAAATCGACCATCAAGGAATATTATAACAGAGAATGTTATCGATTTCTTCTTTAAAAATGGCAAAAAAACATTAGCTATATACTCAAAGAAGCTTTCTGATGTCATCCAACAATTTTCTGTTTTGCCAATACCTCATCTGATTGGAGCTGCTGCCACTAAACTTACAGAAAGTCGCTCGTATTTGTATACGGTAAGAGGTGGAACAAACTCCCGCATGCATTGACCGAAAATAAAGTTGTCACATTCTCTTTATCCGAATTTGTAGATTCTCTTGGTCCGATAATGAGTCCTCCTTTTGGAGCTAAAAAGAAGCAAGTCTCATCCATATCAAAGATGCGCTTTGGATCCCTTATGGCTACAATTTCAACTTCCTTAAACCAGTTCCATACTTTTTCCTCAGTAACAGTGCCCCTTGCCTTGTTAATAAATTCAGCGTGCTTCTGGGAGAGAAGAAGATTTCTATTTAGGAAAGAAGTAAACCACTTTTTGCCTTTGGCTTATTATTGGAAAATGGAGTTTTCATATTGGAATAATCTAAGATCTTCTTGACTGAGTATAGAAGACTCTCCCTATCTACGGGAAATCCCATTTTGGCACAATTCAACACCCAATCCGCTAATAAATTTTCGCAATCTTTTCCCAAAACAGAATCAGGTCCACAGTGACGCGGCGATTCAACTGGACTCTTTCCCGAGATTTTGTTGCGAAGGGTGGTATGGCTCTTCACACAGGCATTCCATTTTCTATAGCCTTCAACGCCTGGGAGACTTTTAATGGAGAGTACTGGTACCGTTTCTGTTTATTTTTCTCAGCCATGGTAACAGAGCCTTGTAAATAAAACAGAGTTGTTCAAAATCCATTTCACTAATGGATCGCTAATTTACTTATGGCCACGTCATGGCCATAACTGGCAAACTTCACAAAATTCTCTCTACTTATGGCCACGTAAAAAAAACAACCAAAACACGCTTAACCTCAACTTATGGTTATAATATTATTAAATACTTTGAAACTAACGTATTTGTGATCATATAGTTCATAGGCTCGGCTAAATATGAAACGATGCATTAGCGGAAACATGGAAACCATTTTCAAATTGTTTCATTATGGGAAGCGTCATCTAACACCGTCTGCATTGAATTAGAGTCTAACAGAATCCTGTAATGCACTTACTTTTCAACTAATGTCTATTAGAATCTTAATGCGCAACGACTTTCTTTGAAATGGTCATAAATGGTACAGTGGCCATAAACGGCGCTTCTACCCTATATCTAAGTTCTTTTTTCATTTTTGACAATTAAGCTGATGATGGCCTATTACCCGAAACCGGTACTAAATACATTAATTTTAAGCGAGAAAGAAATTATTTTATTTAAATACCTAAATTTTATTTATATAAATTATTTAAATTTATTTATTATTTACTAATTTTTATTGTTTTTAGATTAAAGAAATTTTAGAAGCATTAGGTTTGTGGCAATATAGAAAAATTCGTACCAGTAGTTTATCAGGAGGACAAAGAAAAAGACTAGCAATTGCTTTAGAATTACTTAAAAATCCCCAAATAATGTTTTTTGACGAACCAACAAGCGGGTTAGATAGTTCAACAACTAAACAATGCGTAATGTTATTAAAACAATTAGCTCAAGAAGGTCGAACGATAGTTTGCACGATTCATCAACCCAGCGCATCAGTTTTTGAAATGTTCGATCATCTTTATGCCCTTTCCGACGGGAAATGTATTTATCAAGGATCAATTAAAGGACTAGTTCCTTATTTATCAGAATCTAATCTTCATTGCCCTTCGTATCATAATCCAGCCGATTATTGTAAGGATTTCAAAAAAGAATTATTTAATTTATGTAATTTTTTAATTTTTATTTTAGTATTAGAAGTAGCAACTGGCGAACATGGAAATCAAACCGATATTTTAGTAAATAGAACCGCAAACGGTTTAAATTGTGATTGGAGAAAAACTCAAAGGGACACCATCGAACTGCAATCTATAGAACATATTGATAAAATGATGAAAAACGGATTAGTAACACCAGTTAGAGCACCATCTATAGCATTTCCTAGTTTTTCAAAATCTCCAATTGAATCCAGAAAAACGTCGGATCCTAAAGGAATTTGTTACGACGGGCATTATTCTACCTCCTTTTTCAAACAACTTTACATATTAATAAAACGAACCTTTTTAATATTAAGCAGAGATAAAACGTTAACAATTTCGAGGATTTTAACCCACATTACAATTGCATTATTTTTGGGGACGCTGTATTTTGGAATTGGAAAGGATGCCTCAAATGTACTCAACAATTTTAATTTTATTTTTTTTACCGTCATGTTTCTTATGATGACTGCTATGAATTGTGTCATTACAACTTGTAAGAAATCCATTTTTCTTTGAAATATTTCAAGTTTCCTAGAAACGTTTATTTTAGTTCCATCGGAAATGCCTATTATAATCAGGGAAAATTTTAATCGATGGTATTCGTTAAAATCTTATTATTTAGCTATTTCAATAGCTGATATGCCTGTGCAGGTAAGATAATTTAATTTTTTTTCCTTTGGACATGAGATGATATTGTTTTTCATTAATTTTATAGAGATTTTAGTGATCACGATAATTTTCCAAAATAAAAAGATGGTCTAGTGAGGTTGTTAAGCTTTCAGGATGTTATATAGAGGCTGTTTTTTAAAGATAAAATTCTATACCTTCTCTGCTATACCTGCTTCCTTCTCTGTTCTCTGTAAGAATATCAATAAACTGTAGCCCCTCTGAATTGAAGATTCGAAACTTAATTTCATTAATGTGAAATTTTGCCCTACTCACTAAAATGTACTAGCTAAGGTCCTTATATACATGATGTGTATAAATTAGCCACACTATAAGAACAACAACATAATATGATTAAATGTTTGTGATATAAGAATGTTTTGGCAAAAGCTATGCACAAAATCCTATTTTTGGTGGAATGCAAGATCTCCCAATCTATCTCCTTTGGATTTTTTTGTTTGGGGTTTAACTAGAAGGATACTCTATATCCCTTTAAAGCTTTGACGACATTAAAGTCACTCAATTACCATGCATTACCTAATCCAGCGATGTTTTCAAGTAAATTCTGTGTTTTTCTAGCGATTGTTTTCTATGATAACGATTTGGGCAACCGTCTTTTTATGCTTCTTAAATGCGGAGATTCTGACCTTACTTGATGTTTTTGTTCTGATGTAATTAAATTTAAACCTAAATCGTCATGTTTATTGCAATCCATCTTAACTTTTTCTAGTAATTGATTTCTCACTCAACACTGTATTTTTCACATTTTTAGTTGTTGCATTTATAGGAGTTATGATAAGACAAAATTTTCAAAGACATAAAAAAACAATTAGCTAACCAATTAATACAAAAAAACACCATTGTGGTGTACAACCTAAGATCATGCAAACTGACCAGCTAGATGGGAGGTATTAGGTATTGTAGCTTGTCCCAACTTCAGAATAATGTAGAATATAGTAGAATATATAGAAAATCTGCTAGGAACCTTAAAACTAGCAGGTCGCACTTTACAAATTCGTCAAGCAGAACTTGCAAGAGTCGATAGCTAAAACTGTTGTATCAAATTTCAAGGCATACATTGACATAGAATTTTCCCTTGGGGTAGATTTTGTTTGTTAACGGAACCGTTAAAGTAGAACTGAGGTTCGTCTGAGTCCATCTGATTCCAGGATTTTTTTGTGATATTTGTGACATTGCCAGATCGTTGAGGTACCCCTTCTAAAACAGATAAAGTTTTGGCTGGTTACCTCCAGTGTCCTTTCTGAATATTCTGTGCTGGGATGTTCTATACCTTCTTACCTCCTTCTCCGTTCTCTGAAGGAACATCAACAAACTGTAGCCCCTCTGAATTGGAGATTGGAAACTTAATTTCATTTTTGTAATATAAGAATGTTTTGGCACAAGTTAAGGACAAAATCCTATTTTCTGGAATGCAAGATCTCCCAATCTATCTCCTTTGGACTTTTTTGTTTGGGTTTTAACTAGAAGGGTATTCTATGTCCGTTTAAAGCTTTGGCAACATTAAGTTCACTCATTTAGATAAATTACAAGTAAATTCTGTGATTTTTTAACTATAAAACAGTTTTGCCAAACTTCAAGGCTTATTGACATAGAATTTTCCCTTGAGGAAGATTTTGTTTGTTAACGGAACCGTTAAAGTAGAACTGAGGTTCGTCTGAAGTTAACACAATTATTCTAGGATTTTCATACATTATCTCTAACATTGTTTCTGCAAAGATAATCTTTTTGAGAAATCTTGACGCTGTAATTTTTTAACTACGGCAATTTTGTATGGGTGAAAATTCTTCATGAAGAATCCGCCTAACAATCATAACGGACATCCCTAGAATCTGAGCATCACAAATAGCTAATCGCTGATATTTGCAAATAACCCCTTTTCTCCTTGTTTCCGAAAGCTGTATTGCGAATGTTACGAACCCATAAAAGAATACTGCTCTGAGATTGATTCCACGAGGAGGAACATTAAAACGTGAACGAATTTTCAGCTGTGTTAGAAAGACAGAATCGATATTTTTTAAGAATCAGCAGAAAGTTTCACCACAGATTAACCAGAAAGGACATGTTGTCGGTTCCTTTAATGTTAATTGTTGACGACGATTTAAATTCTGCCATAAGAAGGGAACCCAACGATCTTTCGAAAGAGAATGGAAGCGAGCGACGTGTCCAGATCGTTGAGGGAACCAACGGCACAGCAATAACAACAAGGTGCTCCTTCTAAAGCAGACAAAGTTTTGGTTGGATACCTCCAATGTCCTTTCTGATTATTTTGTGGTTTATCTTTCTGGCCCTGTAGATGAGGTTGACTTGAATACTAGATTCATTTTTTACCAACGCTTCTCTGTGACATTTAAACCTAGATAGAAATCACATTGTGTCAACATCCCTATCTCTGAAACAAAAGTTTTTTAACGACAAAAATTGCTTAAAAAACCATTTTTATCTACACGTGTCCAAATTGATTAAAAAGAATTTGTCAAGATACGTCAAAACATTAAGGACTGCGTCAGCAGAGAACCAAGGTGAAACACCTTGCAAATGCACAAGAAGTATCAGTGACCTATCGGCGGAAAACATGGTGGCTGGCATGCCAGATGCATTCCCCTTTCTGGACTTAACACAAAGGACCCTATTCCTTTGGGATTTTCCATAACCCCCGCCTGAATCGAGTTTAAGTAATCTCTATAATCAGCCGCAATAAGCCGCTTAGACCTGGAGCGCAAGATAGAGAAAGCAATCACTATTATGGCAAGTGGATTTCCATTTTTTTATGGCAAAGAAGCTTTTCTTTAATTACTCGAATTGTTGAACGTTTGTACCAATAAGGAAAACGTTGCTTAGGTAGAATGCACTTAGGAACGTCTCTGTTAATTACATAATTAACGCGGTCATAAAAAACTTCAACCATGCTCTCCACGGCCATCCCAGCAAAAACAGTCTGCCAATCGATACTATTTAAGAAACACTTGATAGCTCCGAAATTCGCGTTCTTAAAAAGAAAGCGAACATTTGGACCATCACTCAGACAAGTGAACATGCCTAATGATTAATCAGCCATGGAGAGATATGTGTGCACCATTGTGGTGTACAACCTAAGATCATGCAAACTCATCAGCTGGATGGGCGGTATAAGGTCCCAACTTCAGGATAAATTTCAAAATCCTCCAAAAAGTAACATTGTGGTGTCCCCAATACCACCTATTAAATAGTTCCAGCCTTTTAGACATGCAACGAGCAATATTGCAATTTATCTCTCATGAGTTGTGTCTACTCTGGTGTAATTAAGAACGACTTTTCCAGATCGTTGGGGAACCAAAGGCACAGCAATAACAACAAGGTGCCCTTTCTTAAACAAAGTTTTGGCTGGATACCTCCAGTGTCCTTTCTGATTATTCTGTGGTTTCTCTTCCGCACCCTGTAGATGAGGTAGATTCATTTTTTACCAACGCTTCTCTGACATTCAAACCTAGATAAAAAATCACATTGTGTCAACATCTTTATCTCTAAACCAAAATTTTTTTTAACGTTAAAAATTGCTCAAAAAACATATCTACTCGTATCCAAATTAATTTAATTTATTTAGGCAATCATAAATACATTTTTTTTTGTTATAGATGTTCGCAACATTATTATATGCCGTTACAACTTATTTCATGACTGCCCAACCAATAGAATGGTACAGGATATTTCTTTTTTTAAATATGTGCATTCTTATTTCCCTGGTTGCTCAAGGATTTGGATTATTTATTGGAGCTTCTATGGACTTAAAGGTGACTTACATTGAAAATAAAATTCCCCTTTAAAGTTATACAAAAAATGTTGCGGCATTGTATTCAAAACAATTCTTTAACCTACTTCTTTAAATTGCATAAAAATATTTTCGTATTTATTTGTTTTATTTTTCTTTTTCAGAACGGCGTGATATTCGGTCCATTTTTCCTCTTACCCTTCATTATCTTCTCAGGTTTTTTCGTCCAATTATACGATGCTCATCCCTATCTACAGTGGTTGTTTCACATATCTTACATAAAATATGGATTTGAAGGTTTAATGTTATCAGTTTTTGGATACGATCGCGCGAAAATGCCATGTAACGCCGATTATTGCCATTACGTGTATCCAAAAAAATTTCTAGAACAAGTCGACATGACGGACGCGGTTTACGCGCATTGCGTACTTTTCTTAGTTGGAATTTTAGTTTTTGTGCGCGTGATTGCGTTTATTGCTTTATACATTCAAATTAGGCGACGAAGATGATTTTTAAAAAACATTTTTTTAGTGCGTTAAATTTTAATTAAACGGACCAAAAGATATTAGATTTTTAATAGAGTTTCTTTTGTATTTATATATCTTAGTTTATTTTTTAATTTTGTTGTTAAGGTGGTGCTATTTCTCCGCGGTTTCTAAGTTTTGATCTTGTAGTATTTTTACCAAAGCTGTTTATTTTTTTTTATGACTACTATTATTATTATTATTTTTTTTTAATCGGGAGGAGTTCGTACAGCTTTATTGTGATTTTTTTTAGGAAATACGTTGCATATCTGTCTTTATGGACGTTTGTACAAATTTTATACGTTTGTATTTTAGGAAATATACTGAGTATTTTAGTAATTTTTAATGTTTTATTTTAACTTAATATTTTCGGACTTATTTAGTAATATTTAAAATTAAAAATGAGTCATTTTTGGAGCATCTCCAGATAACTCAAATTAAAGTTTGTAACTGCAACTCATTAAATCATCCAATCAACTCCATAAAAATTAAAGAATAAACTGTTTATTGTTAAAAAGTAAAGTATTTATAAATCATTCAATGCAAAATACATTCAGCACGAACAGGATGTAAAATAATTACTGGAAGGATCCTAAATAAATTTAAATTTAACTCTAGAATACACAAATCATTTATTATCCCTATTGTTTATATTCCTTTAACGTTTTTCTTTCTTATCGGTTATAATTACAATGAAATTTATGAACCTTTCTTTTTTCAATATTTTCTTAGAACCTAAAGATAAAACTAAACATAAACTCGCATAATCGACGTATAAAGGCAAGGTCAATAGGTGATCCGTAATAACTTGATGAGTAACGCAACGTTTGTTGCATTCCCAGAAAAGTTTTCGATTTTTACATTTAAGCAACAATTCGAAAAGTATTTCCGGAATCAATAAATCGGAATAAAAAAAGTGGCAATAAAATCAAAGTTTACTATTTTAACATTTGGAATTTCCAAATCTTTTAAAATAAATCGACCTCCAAGAAAAAATGTTGAAATATACACTTACTAACCGCACGCGTCCTGTAAATGATAAATAAACAACCAAAAGAAGATTAAAGAGTGAACTCGAAACCAAAAAAAAAATTAAATTGATTTAATTTTCTAAGAAATTTGGTGTGATAACATAAATGAGATCATATTACGATATATTCGCCGGTTAAGGGTTAAATACAACAATTCTGTCAGAATTATTTATCATAACCCAACTTTTTTCGTTTTTTTGCAGAAACTTTTTATTAGTATTTATATCTTTTTGCGAAAATATCTTAGTGAATACTCGTGATTCTGTTTTCTTCTATTTTTCTTTTTTAATGGCACTGTTTTTAACATTTTGCAGAAATTTCTATGTCAATTGTCAAAAATTTCAGAACCTTTTTAGTAGCTTTAATAGTTTTTCTGCAATACTAAATTTGTCATCATTTTAGTTTTATTGTAGTTTATTTTCAGCCCTACTTTTTGCATTGCCTGACCTTTTGTGCCAATATTAATGTTTTTGTCTTTCTGCAAAATTTTTCTATCAGTGTACTTGCTCTTCTATAAAAATTTCTGACAAGATTTTTTGTTTGATCTCTTTTTGCCAAAACTTCTGTCAATAACCAGTAAATTCTGCTGTTTCTAGAGAGTGTCCATGTCATTTTGCAAGACAATCTCATAGTGTATCTAAGAGTGCTCTTTCAACCAACACATCCTCCAATGTTTTCTATTAACGTCTCTTTTGCACAACTTTTATTGACAGTGCAGATGTTGTGAACTCGAAACCAAAAAAAGAAATAAATTGGTTTAATATTCTAAGAAATTTGGTGTGACAACATAAATGAGATCATACATGTTCGCCGGTTAAGGGTTAAATATTGACGTCTTTAACAACGTCATCGACTGTTGTGACTATGTCAGCGTAATTTATATATTTTCTATTAAGCAGTAAAACCACAAAAATGTTGTTGTTTTGAAGTCCTAAAAAAGAATTTTCGAAAAAATGATTCATTTAAAGAATTTAATTTTGAGTGATACTAAAATTAATAAAATTACATAAATTTTTATGATGATTTATAAGAATATAATGTTATGCGTAACACATTTTAGAGATATAATTTGAAATTCGCGGCTAAGAACTGGTGGGGAACGTGACCTCATTGGTTTAAAGAGCCGGTAGTTGCGAGGTATATATATATATTTTTACCAGACCTTGGTTTAAATCGACACAAATTGAAGTGTACTGTTGTTGCTAAAACATAAACGTTCCACATACAAGAAGAAGCAAGATAAAAATGAAGTTTTTGATCGTATTCGCTGTGGTTTCCTTAGCAACGCTAAGCACTTGTTTCCCAGGTTAGTTGATTTTATTGATTTTCCCTATCTCAATAAATAAATAAATAATTAAACAAATCGTTTTAAAAATCTTTTCGCTAAAAAAAAAGTGTTATTTATATTCTACAGGTTAATCATACAATTTGTTGAATTTGCAATGTGCATCATTGTATCAACCTTGACTTGATTGTTAGTTGACAATGAAATAAACAAGGACGTGCGTTCCATTTTTGTTAATCGGAATAATTTGAATTCACTTAAATAAAAAAATGTTTAAAAAAGTTCTTATCTTAAAACCAAAAAAGAATTAAAGTCAAAAATTAACGTTTAACTCGATAAGCAGTTTCTTGAACGATATCAATTCTTAGAAATTCTCGATGCAAAAATAGCACTTCGTAAATTGTAAACAAATCTTATCGTGTTTATTGACCATTTTCACTGTTAACCTACTGGAACGTAAACGATCGGAACGAGTTTTGAGTGTTTAAAGATTCATACAACGCAGATTAATCAAACTTTATTGCATGATGTTTTTTTTTAATGTTAAAATTTAATGTATTTGGTATTGAAAAGCTATTCCAAGGCCGTTTTGAAAAATAAAAAAGCATGAATCATATTCATATTTATGTAACAAATAACTTGTAATGTTCAATAATTTTACTTGTTATCTAAAAAATGTTAAGGTTGTTATTATTTTAAAAGAAGTATCATAGAAACTATTTATAAGGAAAGTGAAAAACACTTTTAAATAGAAGCAAATTGCGTCTACTTAAATAATAACGCTTTTTCTTTAGCGTAGGTTTTTAAAACAAAACGTATTAATTGACATAATGAATCATATTAAAGTATTTATTGACATCCATAACTCAAAAATTCTAAGAAGTAAAATCGTTCTAAATTAATCTATAATAAATAAACTGGAGTGTTGGTACAATACTTTCATTGAAAACGAAAATGTTAAGAATTTGTTTTGACATTATCGAAAAGGAGATCAAATACTTTGAAAAAAGTATTAATTACATCTTTTTTTGGTGTTCTGGCTTCTATGGAAGATTTTTGTGCTAAAATTTGTGTATTAGTCTTTTTGCAAAAATGTTTCTGTTACCGTGTTTGTTTTTTGCTAGACATTTCTAACAGAATTTTTTGATTTTTGACTTCCTTCCAACTTTTTTCCAGAATTATTTGACATTGTCGGCATTTTGGCCATTTTGCAAAAACTTTTGTATCAATGTTGACGTGCTTCGGTTTTTGCAGAAATTTTTTATTAGTGTACAGAAATTTAGATGATTTAATTAAAATCCATGTTAACGTTATTTATCAGTATCATTTGTTTTGTCATATTTCAGAAAATGTTTTGTATTAGCGTCATTAATGTAACCATTTTGCAACTTCATCGTTAGTCCAGGTGTTCTAATCTTTTTAGAAAAACTTTCCTCCCAGTGTTACATTTTACAGCAGTGTTTTTGAGATTTTGTAGAAACTTCTGTGTCAATGTATCAAGAAATCTAGATTGATTAGTTAAAACTGTGTCTGTTCTTATGACACATATTTCTGGTAATGCTTTTTATTATCGTTACTGTAACCTCTTTGCACAAACTTCATGGTTAGTTCAGGTGTTTTCACAGTGTTCCCTTTTATGGCAATATTTTTGAATTTTTGCAGAAACTTCCTTTTCCATATCTATATTTTACTACAGAAATTTCAGAATTCTTTGATAGTGTTTTTCTGCAAACATACAAGCCAGTATTCTTGTCACATTTTTTGTCAGATTCAGTATTCTGACCTTTTTGCTAAAACATTTGTATCAATATAAATGATTTTGATCTTTTCACAAAAATTTTTCATATAGAATCTTCTACCAAGATTTTTTGTTGGAGCCAACTACCCAACCCAACCCAACATTTTAGATAAACCTTCTTCGTTTTTTGCAGAAACTTTTTATTAATATTCATCTCTTTTTGCAAAAATATCGCAGTCAATACTCATAATTCTTTACAGATATGATTTATTCTGGTCTTTCAACAAATATTTCTACCAATGTTTTCTATCGACTTACTTTTTTGTTTGCATAAACTTCACTATTAATCCGGGTCTTCTTGTCATTTCACAAAAACTTTCCTTCTATTTTTCTCTTTTAATCACAGTGTTTTTTACTTTTAGCAAAAACTTCTGTGTCAATGGTAAAAAATTTCAGAATTCTTTTTTAGCACCAATAGTTTTTCTTCAAACATTTCCGCCTGCATTCTTTGTATCAATGTATCTCGTTCTTTTATAAAAATTTCTGATAAGATTTTTTATTAGTACCAACTCATCATCTATTTTTACCAAAATTTCTGTCAGTAACTAGTAAATTCTTTTGTTTCTACAAAAACTTTCTTTGTTAATATACATGTCATTTTACATGACTTTTCATTTCAGATTGTTCTTGTTTCTCTACAGAAATTTCCTTGTAACTTGGTCCTTTTGCAAACCTTCATTATCAGTATGTGTTTTACCAGTTTTACAGAAACTTTCTTTCCAGTATTCTCCATTAATGACAGCATTTTTAAACTTTTTGCAAAAACCTCTGTGTCAATGTTTTTTACTACTCTATTGAAATGTCAGAAATCTTTATTAATACCAACAGCTATTCTGAAAACGTTTTTGCCAACAATCTTTGTCAATGTCAGCATACTTTTTGTACAACTTTTCTTTGTCAGTGTTGGTGTTGTTCTATAAGTATGTTTTTGACTTTTTACAAAAGCTTTTTTGTAAATGTACTACCATTTTAGTGTTCTTTTGACACTATTCTTTATCAGTATCAGTAGTTTTTGCCTCATGCAGAAACTTTAGCCAGTATTCTCTATCATTGTGCAACTATTAATGTTCTTTTCTCTGTGCAGAAATTTGTTACCATCATTTTTGTCAATATCATCTATTCTGATTTTTCTGCAAAGTCTTTATCTTTGCGCAGAAACACTTCAGTAAGTGTGTAAACGCCAAAATGAATCAAAAGGTAATTCTTTAGAGGTTAAGGATTTGAGAGGAAATCTAGATAATGTTATGATAAACCCAACCCAACTCTGCCACGTGAAATTATTGTCTCAAAACTGCGTTGGTTCCACCATTTTAAGTTCTTGACATTATATTGGATAATACTCCACATTAAAATTATGCAGAACACTCGAATCGAGTATTCAACTAAACTGTAATGAAGTCAAAGTTGTATTAGTAATTCAATTAAGCGTAGGTTTTTAATAAGAACATGTAAATTAACATTTTGAATCACATCTGAGACAATTATTAAATAAATCTTAAAATCTACATAAATTAAAGGTAATTCGAATTAATCATCATCAATAAGTTCATGAATTCTAGCAATCATTGTTATAAATTTATTAAAAAAGGTAATTGTACAGGTCCAAAAAAGGATACAGACGATGACGTGGAATTTATTCCAAGTGCAAGAAGATACAATCCATTTGGAGTTGTCGACGTTGAAGCTAATCCAAGTGGATATGATGACTTCGATGATGATTTCCCCGGTTTAACTCAAGGATGGAAAGATAGTTTTTCAGCGTTTATGAAAAGAGTAACCGATTTAGTTAAAAATGTCAGAAGTAAGTTTAAAATTTTAATCATTGTTAATTAAGATTTAATAACTTAATTTTTTTAGCTCAAGTTGCTAAAGATTTAGAGGATAAACTTAAAAATGGAACTACGACTTCAACGGTTGAAATAATTAACGGCCATAAAGTGGTTAAAAATCAAACGGTTTACGAAGATCCCCACACTTATGTGAAATCCGTTGTTTTTGAAGTTCTTCCGAACAGCGACGAAGCACCAAATACCGGAAGTAATCCGGAAGTTGATACAGAAGCTGTACCAAAACGTAAAGATAGAGAACCTCTCGAGGATTCGGTTGAGAACGAAGTCAACGCTTTGAATGAGGTTCGTAAAAATAACAAAAAACCGGAAAGGTATCAATTATTCAACAACTAAAAATAATAATTAAAAATGAACGCTTTATAAAACATTTTTTAACACATTAATTTTTTTTTAAAGATATTGTTATGGTTTAAGTTTGTAGATTTTATTGTTTTGTTTAAATTTTTTTTTAATTAATAAAAATTTATCTATGTATATATTTGATTTTTTTAATTATGGGTTTTGGTTTCTTCGCTTTTTCACAAATTAACAACATTCTAACACACCATTTTTCACTTATCCAACACAATCATTTTTATGTGTGCACTTTTTTGTTCTTCCCCAGGCCGAAAGCATCAACATAGAAACTTTAGGAGATCAAAGCGTTCCCCCACAGAATTTCGCCTATAAAACCACCGATAATAATAATTGGCTCGAACTCCCAAATAAAAACGAAAAAGACATCGAATTAATTGATAGTAACGAAATATCAACCCCCGATGAGATCAACAAAAACAATCCGATCGATTTAAGTTCAGATATTAGAGTAAACGATATTTTAAGCGCAGAAGATTACCCGAAAAATCCAGATGCTGAAATTTTTGAAGCTAGCGAACCCGTTGAAATAATCGATCCAATCAAAATTAAACCCTATGATTTAGAGTCAGATACAAGAGTTAATGATATTTTAAGAAATAAAGGTTATCCAAAGAATCCAAATGCGGAAATTTTTGAGATTGATGTACCTAAACTGGTTGTTACTTAGAGTTTAACTTAAAAAAAACTGTTGATGTTTTCACTTGTAGACTGATTGTATTCAAATCATTGTATCATTGTGCTTTTTGTTGTTGTTGATGTTTGCCAAAGACATATTTATTTATTGTGACAATTTTTGTTGTAAAAGGGTGTATCTCATACTAACACCATCATTGTATTTATATTACTAATATTTTTTGAAAATTATTTATTGATTTTTTTAATTATTTATAAGAAAAAATAAAGAGGATTCATATTTTAGAAAAAAAAATTGAGTTTTATTTTTTTATGCACGCTTAAAATTAATACAGCAAATGAATGTTCTGCAAAATTCTAGTATGGAACGATGTTTTGAGCACGTGGCAGAGTTGTGTTGGATCGTTTTCGTCTCAAATCCTTTCCCAACACATTTATTACTGAAGTTTTTGCATAAAGATAAGAATACTAACAATGATACAGAAGTGTATGTTAAAAGGCTAGAATACTGGTGCTGAAATAGAGTACTGATACCTTTTCAAAAAAATCAGAATAGATGACATTGACAAAAAATGATGGCAAAAAATTTCTACGCAGAAAAAAAAACACTAATAGTTGCACAATGATAGAAAATACTGACTAAAGTTTCTGCTTGGGGACAAAAACGTCAATACTGATAAAAAATAGTGGCAAAAAAGAAGAAGACAAAAAGTCAAAAACATGCTTATAAAACTACATTAAAAACTGGTAAAGAAAGATTGTAGAAAAAGAATGCTGATACTGACAAAGAGTGTAGGCAAAAACGTTTTCAGAAAAACTGTTGGCATTAATAAACAATTCTGACATTTGTAGAATAATAGAAGCATTGCCACAGAGGTTTCTGCAAAAAGTTAAAAACGCATTGATATCTAACCACATTATGACCGTTAATTATTTCTACCGTTGAAGTTGTAGTTCCATTTTTAAGTTTAGCCTCTAAATCTTTAGCAACTAGAGCTAAAAAAATAAAGGTAATAAATCTTAATTAAAAATAGTTTAAAATTTTAAACTTACTTCTGACATTTTTAACTAAATCGGTTACTCTTTTCATAAACTCTTTCCATCCTTGAGTTCAGGAAAATCTTTATTGAAGTCATCATATCCACTTGGATTAGCTTCAACGTCAACAACTCCAAATGAATTGTATCTTCTTGTACTTGGAATAAATTTCACGTCATCTTCTGTATCCTTTTTTGGACATCCACAATTTCCTATTTTAATAAATTTATAACAATGATTGCTAGAATTCATGAACTTACTGATGATGAATTACCTTTAATTTATGTAGATTTTAAGATTTATTTCATAATTATCTCAGATATGATTCAGAATGTTAATTTACATGTTCTTTTTAAAAACCTACGCGTATAAGCTTAATTGAATTACTAATACAACTTTGATTTCATTACATTAACGATTCGCATGTTCTGCAAAATTCTAGTATGGAATATTACCCAATATAATATCAAGAACTTAAAATTGTGGAACCAAAGCAGTTTTGAGATAGTAATATCATGTGGCAGAGTTAGGTTGGGTTCATCATATCTACTAACTTTCGAATAATTGCGGCGTTTACACACTTTCTGAAGTGTTTCTGCACAAAGATAAGAATACCAACACTGATACAGAAGTGTATGCTAAAAAGCTAGAATACTGGTGCGGATATAGAATACTTGCAGAAAAATCAGAATTGACAAAAATGATAGAAAAAAAATTCTGCACAGAGAAAAGAACACTAATAGTTGCACAATGACAGATAATACTGGTTAAAGTTGCTCCATGGGGACAAAAACATCAATACCGATACAGAAGTTCGAGTAAAATCGCCAGAATACTGATACCGATAAAGAATAGTGGCAAAAGCATTTTAAAATGGAAGCAGGTTTACAAAAAAGGTCCTGCAAAAAGTCAAAAACATACTTATTGAGCAACACCAACACTGATAACCATGGGAATTGTTAGGAATGGATATGCCATCTACAAAAATGTAAATTATTTAATTATGCAGGATTATTATTCTAAGTACCCCGAGATTTGAAAATTAGAATTAAAATCATAGAGCAGTTGAAGGATCATGCAATTTCAAAAAAAATAAGGAAAATAATTTGTCAGCTATGAATTTAAGCAATTTGCCACAGATTATGGGTTCAAAAGTACAATCAGTAGCCCAGAATACCAGCCAGCAAACGGAGACGTGGAGAGCGCTGTAAAAATTAAGAAAAAGATTTTTCGCAAGAATAAAGATTTTCACATTGCAGTATTAATCCATAGAAACACGCCTTTAAAATCTTCTCTGGTTCTCTTCAGCCCAATTGCTTTTTGGCAGAAGATTAAGGGATAAAATTGCAATACTTAAATCAAAGTTGGACTCTAGAACAGCAAACCACAATAGACTGAGAAAAGAATTTGAAGCCGAAAGAGAAAAACAATAAAATCGAAGACATAGAGAAAGAGTATGAATAGTGAACATGCAAAGAGAGGGAATAGTGAAGGAAATGACAACGGGATATTCATAGGAACAGGAAACATTTACAGCCCCTACCAACACAAGACAGGAATAAAGGTGATGTAAGTACAGAAAATACCAATGAAGAACTAAAACACGTGACAAACGAAGATACAGTAATCTTGGAGAAGAACAATGATGAGGAGACGGATTGCTTTTTGGCAGAAGATTAAGGTATAACATTCCAATACTTAAATCAAACTTGGATCCTAGAACAGCAAACCATAATAGACTGAAAAATGATTTTGAAGCTGTAAGAGAAAAACAAAAAAAAAATATATAATCGAAGACATAGAGAAAAAGTATAAATAGTGAACATACAAAAAGAGGGAATAGTAAAGGAAATGACAACGGGATATTCATAGGAGCAGGAAACGTTTACAGCCCCTGTCTTACCAAGACAAGACAGGAAAAAGATGATGTAAGTACAAAAAATACCAATGAAGAACAAAAACACATGACAAACGAAGATACAGCAATCTTGGAGAAAAACAATGATGAGGAGACGGACCAAAAAGGAGCGAACGCAGAACAAGGGAACCCAGAAGGTTAAGACTATATTAGATTTTAGGTTTTGGAATGTACTTAGAAAGGGAGACGTTCGAAGGTCGATATAAACCTGTATAAAATGTGATGAATAAAGTCGCTGTAATGAATAAAATACTATAGAATAATAAAAGTACTGACGCAGAAGGTTCTGCAAAAAAATTAAAGAAAAAGAAAGTTTTTGTAAAAAGGCTAGAACAACTATACTGACAGTGAAGCTAATAGAAAACATTGGATTACATATTTGGATAGAACATTGGAGAGGACATTTTTTGAAAGAATGTTGACAAAAAAAAATTCTGTAAAGAAGAACCTTAAATGCTGACATAGTCATGCAAAATGACATGGATATTAACACACTACAAAGAAAGTTTCTGTAGAAACAGAAGAATTAATAACACTGTGCTGCAAAGATGAATTTTTTTTTGTGTACAGTTGATGAGTTGAGTGCTTTTAGTTAATTTTGGGTTGGTAGGTAATTTCCTGTATAATCAGAAGTTGTACAAACATGCCACTACCACTAAAAGGTAGATCTCTTCACCTTATTTCAAGGTGCCAAATTTCAAATTCATTGCATTATATGTATAAACATGACATCTTACAGAAAAATTAAAGGCATATTTAAAATCAGCAACCCAAAATTAACTAAAAACACTCTACTCATCAACTGTACAAAAATCATGCAACACAGTATAATTATTAACAGAAATTTTGGCAAAAAGAAATGATGGGAAAATCTTATAAGAAATAACAGACACTCCTTTCCCTGTATTAATCTGTAATAATGAGATTTTACTATACCTAATGGGTATTAAAAAAAAAACATAATTTTCTTTTAAACATTTTTATATTAATTATAAACATACAAGTTACTCATCTTGTACAACGGTAGTTTTCTCAGAAACATACAAACCATCCAAGAATTTACGAATATCCTTGTTTTTAACTGTAGTACTCTGCTGAATTAAAGCAGCAGACCTAGAAACATCCTCCAAAGAGTTACCTTCGATAATCAATTCATCCTTTTGTTTAGCAGAATTAGATACAGTAACTCCCGGTGCCATTTTCACTCTACGAATGTATTTTTCACCCAAGAAATTCCTGATTTCAATCACTGTATTGCTTTCCGTTGTAACACAATTGATGGGGAAATGAGCGTACACTGCGCGCATCTTGTATTGGTACCCTTTGGTGACGCCTTTTAACATATTTTCAACGTGGGAACACACAGTACGAACGGCCGCAATTTCTTTTTTCGAACCGAACCATTTCTCTACCTTTAAGGTCCTTGGGGTGATCATTCGAATATCAACGGCCAAATGTTTAAAAGACCGTTTTAAAACTCCTCTTGGTCCTTTTACGGTTACCACTCGCGATTTTGCGGTCACAGTGAGATCCTTTGGGATCTTCACCACTTGATTTGTTACTATTTGCTTCATTGTCCTAAAAATACAAATAAATAAGTATAATTAGAAAAATTAAAATTACTTGAAACAACTTCAAAACATAATGACATAACCTATAAGTTAAGAGTGATTGTTGAGGTGTTTTTAGGGTCAATATGAAAGAAAATTTATGTGGGGAATTATTGAATATGATGTTAAGATATAAATATGGCAATTATAATTCGAAATTGTTTATAATAACTTAGATGATTGAGGATAAATATTTTTTTGTATAAGGTACATACCGATCACGTTGACGTTTAGAAGCGGAAGAGAGCTGTCAGTTCTACCAACCTAATTTGGTGGGGAAAGATTGGTTGTTTTTAAACGATTTTTTTGAAAATGGGGGGTTAGTCTAATAAAATTATAAATTAATTTGGGTTAATAACGATGTTTAATTATTTTTTAATTTAATGTATAATTAGAAAAATTGTTTATATTTTTTTGATTAATAATGGATTTTAGTTCGCGGTTATAACACCTAGGTGGCGGGGAATTTTCTTTGTTGATTCGTAAATTAAGCTTTAATTATAAGTAAATGTACTACGTAATAAATAACTTTAAGTAATATAAAAATTTTATTACAAAATTATAGCGCCGGATAATCGGTAATAAATGTTTACACTTGTTTTGTAACATTTTGTATTGGTTCCGCTATTATCCGCTAGGGTAACTTAGTGTCAACGTCAAATTATAAAAAAAAATTAAAATATGTAGGTTATATTTTTATTTATTTAATTCGAATATAATAATTATAAATATCTTTTTAGGAATGGTTTGAAGTCTTGGAAAAATTAAGCCATGGCATCTTTAAATATTATTATTATTTTGCCGACTCTTTTTGTGTAGAGGTAACAACAAATTAATCCATAAACAATCTTGGTTTAATTAGGCGAAATCATCGATTTTTCGCCTTAAGGTCCTGAGCGGCTTCGCCTTAATCCAACGAAGCGAGGTTATCATGGTTATAGGCTTCAAGGTCACCAACTGCATAAATCATGTCAAAAATTTTATTTCTGATTATTCTTTATTACCTTAGTTGTAATGAAGCTCATAACTCAAGGAATATTAATTTAGGTTATCTGTTGCTGCCTTGGTTTATGAAACAGGTTTAAAGGAGAGCTTCCCATTTCACAAATGAGGTAAATTATCAATTATTTCACTTTCCTTCCTTTCAGCTTTCATTCTTGATTTCACTTCCGCTTTTATACTCCTTGTTATTTGACTGATTTCATTTTAATTGGCTTTATGTTTACACAACAAAGCACTTTTTAACACTTAATAGGATAAAACAAATTGGATAAATCTATTATGATAAAATTAAGAGAAAAAATCTTTATTTAAATGTACAACAATCGAATAATATACATAAACAAGGCAAGTATAAAAGTTCATGATTTTATAAAAATATAAATATCTTGTTCATTAAAGAACCCATTTTTTAATAAGTTCCCCTGTCGTGGGTTAAAACCTGGCAAGTGGTGAATTCACCATATTGTGAAGGATAATTTTGATTTGCTTATCACAGCCCTCTACACATTTAACTACATACAGTTATTTAAAAAAAGTTATAATAAAGGTAAATCCTACGTATAGCAAACAATTTTTTCCTCTATATTAAACTAATTTGAAACAAACCATGTTATATCAATAAAAATAAAATAAAAAAAAAAACAGTACACCTTTAATAAATTTATCTTAATGTGAAAGTGTAATAATTAAGCTCTGTTAGATTTCAACTTCCAACGAAGGAAGAAGAAAGCAGCTATTCTTAAAACGAGGAAAATAGCGATTAAAGCGATCACATCTAGGTTATAATCGGCGTTTTTCATGTCCAATTCTTCTAAAGTAGTTTCAGGCAATTTAAAATGACAATATTCTACGAAACATTGCAATTTTGGACGGTTGAATCCGTAAGTGGCCAAAGCTGTTCCTTCAAAACCATAACGAATATAAGAAAGATATGTAATCCATCTTAAGTAAATTGGAATTGCATCGAATGATACGAAAAATCCAGAGAATAATAAGAATGGAACTGACATAACTGGTGCTAAGAAAACTCCATTCTAAAAAATAAAAAAATCATTACAAATTCTTTTATAAAGGAAATTAATTTAACACATACTTGAACATTCATTGCAGCTCCAACGACCAACCCAACACTTTGAGCTACAAAAGAGACCAAAAGACAAGCTCCTAAGAACATTCCATATCTTGGAAATTCCGGCGGTTGAGATGTCATAAAGTAAACGATTGTGACGTAAATTACACAGAAAATAGTCTAAATAAAAAAGAAAAATAAATAAATTCAAAAATTATTTTGTTTAAAAAACTTACTTGAAATGGTATATCTGATAAAGTGATTGCCAAATAATAACTTCTTAGAGAGTACCAACGATTAAAATTTTCTTTAAGTAAAACGGGCATCTCCAGTGGAAAAGATAGAATCGTAATTGTCATGGATGTGTACATTAAAAATAACATGTTGAAGAATAAGAATCCCAAATTACTTAAAACTTTGTTCGCGTCATTTCCTATGTCATAATACAAGGCACCAATTAGGAATCCTACTAAAATGTGTGCAAATAAACGAAGATACATAAGAGTCTAAAAAAAAATTAGTTAAATTAATCAAAAAATTAAATTAAAAAAATTAAGTAAATACCCAATCTCTTCTACTGAATAATAAAGCTCGCTTTAAAATGATGAAGAATTGATTAAGTTCTGTGTTTCCATATCTTGGTTGTTGAATGGGGATGTTTGATGATGGTTCCAATAAACTTGAGTCAACAGAATTAGCTTTTTCATTAGCAACAGTACCATCTTAAAAAAAAAGATTTTTTTTAATTTAATTATTTTTTTTTAAAACAATTTAACTTACTCATTGAATCTTTAGAAACTTCATTAACAACGATTTTCAACGCGTTATCTAATTCCCCAGAATTCCCATCTTTTTTAAATTTATCCTCTTCACTAACATTTTCATTTAAATTCTTTTCGTTATCACCAAATTTACTTCCATTATTTAAAACGGCGTTATTTACTGGGAATGGTTTACCATCTCTTATATCTTCCTTTCCGTTATTAATAGCGTCAACTAATTTATCCGTGTTAGGTCCATATTCTCCACAAGCAACTTCAATGATAAAAGAAGCCGGGTTGTGATACGACGGACATTGAAGGCCTAAAGTGCCCAAAAACGGTACTAATTGTTTCGTTGAACCTTGATAAACGCATTTTCCTTCAGCTAAGGTGTAAAGTTGGTCGAACATTTCGAACAATCTTGCTGAAGGTTGATGGATTGTGCAAATAATCGTTCTTCCCCCACTTGCTAAAGTTCTTAATAAAGAAATACATTGGAAACAAGATGAACTATCCAAACCACTCGTTGGTTCGTCGAAAAACATAATCGGTGGGTTACTAACAAGCTCCAAAGCGATTGATAAACGCTTTTTTTGCCCGCCAGAAAGCCCACTTGTCATTGTAGCTCGATGATCAAGTAAACCTAATGTGTCCAAAATTTCGTTTATAATTTCTTCGCGTTCTTTAGCAGTCTTTTCCCCAATTTTTAATTTTGAAGCTACGTTCATCGCCTCGTCAACTGTTAAATTACCGTGAAGTTGGTTATCTTGCATTATGTAAGCGGAGAGTTTACGAAATTGACTTAAGTTACGTTCATTTTTGTTCATATAAATTTTTCCAGCCAAACCAACTGTCCTTAAATTGAAAAAAAAAAATTAAGGTAAAGAAAAAATCATTTTGCTTTAAAACTTTTCCTTTTATGGATGTAAAAATTTAAGACATCTAATTGTGTAATTTAGATTTGAAATTGGGGTAAGAACATTTAATAAGGAGATGTTTAAATATTTTCAAACCAGTTTTTTACGTCATTTGTTGACGCGTGACCTCCAAATCCGGTGGCCATTTTCAACGTGACGCAGGGAAATCTTATACGTTAGGAATACGAGAGAAGTGGAAGATTTTCTTTTTCTCTCTAATGTTACTTACTTGTATCCGGTGAGAATGTTGAGGAGAGTTGATTTTCCGGCACCGGAAGGGCCCATTATGGCCGTCAATTCGCCAGAACGTAATTGGCCGCTCACCGATTTAAGAATTTCTTTTTCATCTATTAACAAAATAAAAGAATTAATATATAATTGAAGGAAATTAAAAAAATATATCAGATAATAATACTTATTGATGAATTTGCAATCATGACTTTGCTAAAATAATTATACTCATATACATATCTTTGAATTCGTTTGAATCATGTAGTGATGTTTATTTTTTAGTGGGAATTGGATATGTAAATTTGCAAAGCAAATGGAGGAGTGAAAACATACTATTTGTCATAAACAATACGAAGGACCATAAAAATATTAAAAATGTGCATAATCTAATATTAATATTTACGATTATTAATATATTGTATAACACAAATTTGATATCTTATCGATGCTTTCATTTGATGAAAGAGATAAAATACTTGTGATATTAAATATAACTGCACTATGATAAATAACATAAAAAATATAACACTAAAAATTCGATTTAATTAAAATTTTCTATTTGAAAGTTTCTCATGATTATAAAGGTTTACATATACTGGAGCACCTGGTACAAAAATAGAACAACACCAACTCTGGCAAAGCTGCAATTATTTCTGACTGATGAGGTAATTGAAAAAATTGTTATGGACACAAACTGGTACCAATAACAACAATAAACTACTCTGAATGTAACTTTTCAAGAAGCAGATAGTCGAAATAAAATTTTTTGAACTAATAACACTTTAAAGTGTGGTGGGGAAACCTTTGGAGAAATGGCAATGGATCACTAATAAGTTACTTGCAACTTATTTTTTGTCACCTTATTACCAGAGTAAAGTTTTGCCCAAATTATGGAATTTTTCACTTCATAAACAACGAAGAATTTGATTAACCTACTCATGCTGCATCAAAATTAAAGAAAATTTGGTAATCATCTGAAATGACTCAAAAGAGATCGGCACAAAATGCAGAGACTATAATTGCAACATTTTCTTTTCACACACTCACTGAAATTTGTATGCATTTCTTGAAATAATGTGTTCTTCTAGAAAACAGACCTAGGAGAGGCCTGAACGATACCTATGTTTGGCAAAAAGGCAAGATTCAGAAGTGCCTAATGAGTACAATTCATAATATCTCGATTAATATGGTGGGAAAAAAGTAATGAAATAGTGATTTTACTCAATAAGGCGAATACAAGAAACAGAGCTTCAAAAACCTTGAGCAATGCTCGTGGAATGGTAATTCATGGATCTTTGTGGATCACCATCAACCCCAGCGAGAACACATAGACGTGCTGCTGTTGAGGTCACAACGCCTAACTCATTCCTGCTTTGATGATTTGATTAAATTGGATAAAATTATATTGTTATTTATGTTTTGGATTTCTACCAGACCCTTATTTGGACAAATCTACTTAAGTGAGAGTTATAAGCCTACAACAGAAAGACATAGATATATTGTTGTTGGCTACAAAATTAGTGACATCTGACTGATAATTAAGACTGAAAATTGAGAAAGAAACATCCATATTAACCCTTAATCCACCTCTAATGTCACTACATAAATATTATTTAATATAATAGTTATTTATATACCAAGGCCACGGAAATTGAAACCTGAAGCCGACATTGTTAAAGATAAATAGTGGTTTAACAATGTTTTATGGCTAAAATTAGAATTCTTTTTACTTTATACTAAAACTTTAACAAGTAACTTAAATAAGTTTTTAGATTGGTTGGAACATAAAGCTAAAGTAATTGGTATAGCTCAAGTATGTCTTCACTATTTTAGTTTACTTATTTGTAACTCCTGTCTTCTTTCTGCATTTCGGTTAATTACCTTTCTCTTTATATGATACGTTCGGACTTAATTCCAATATTTTTCCTGCTTGATAAGTTCTAGCTTTTTTAATCTTATCTTAAGGTATGCACCGTTTGCCCAAGATCAATAACACAAATACAGCCAAGTATATAAAGTGGGTATAAGAAAGCAAATAATAAGGTCTTTTCTCCACGTTAACAAAGAAAGATGGAACACACTGTTTCTAAGATGTTTCTAGATGACAACATAGGAAATGACCAATTTATTAACAGCTAGATACAACATAAGCCAAGTGATGAACGCAGAAATGGTACTCTTATTAAACATTTATGGAGAAAGACATTGAGATTAATGGTATAGATTTCGTTTGCTAAATATTATCCGCAGCAAAACTTGTTTAGTGTCATTTTCTCGTGTTCTCTGCTTTCTAGCAACAAACATTTTTGGAAAGCAACGCATATCCTCCTGATGACAACTCAAATTTGTACGAGAGCAGTTATGGTTAGAGTCATGATTGTATGAACGTTGTCCATGAACCCTGGAATTGCTAAAATAACCAACTACATGTTAGTGAAATTACTGTAAACAGAGAATAATAAAAAAAAGGTATGAACCTAGCAGTTACATTAATAATGAAAATTTAATTAGAATCATAAGTAGAAATATTTGTCAATGATATGAAAATGCAGAAATTTAGAGTCTAATAGTTAGGTTGCCATGAAGATTGAGTTAGGTACGGTACGAATCGTGCTTTTAGTTAAATGGTAAGCAGAAGCATAAGAAAATGCCTAGGAGATAAGTAACGATAATGCTTAAAAAGAAGATAGAAAATCATTATCATCAAAATCATCAGGCTGGAAGAGGATGAGAGACTAGATTAAGGACAATAAAGAGCGGCGATATCTTTCCAAACAAGGGAACTAATTCTGGGGAAGTAATTTGGCAGACCGGGGAGCAGCTATCCTAAAGAGACTGTCATAGACATAACGATGGGACGATGGCCACAAAACGTTTATAAGATATTGTGAAAGTTGAGACGAAGAAGATATGCTAAAACTTTAAATACTCCCAAAACGGTGATAAATATGCAACGGAAACATCAACAGTTTAACATATTTAGCTAATAGAGTTAATATATAGGTTGAAGATAAAAGACTGCAAAAAATATCAATATTGTTGTATCTATTTCATTTATGCAAACGAGTTGTATTAAATACCAGATATTTTTACATAATTAGAAAAGTATATAATTAAGTTATTTATATTATGTTCATATTAAATTTCAATTTATATAAATAAAATCGGAACTATTGAAGTGATTGAAGATTTGTAAATCACAAATTAAACTTTCATCATCTCTGTACTAATACTGATTTCTAAAGGAACAAAATAACGTTCAGTCATTCTTCAGCTGCAATGCACCTTTCTCCTATTAAGTCCAGAAATGCGACAGCGGTTCTCAATCAATTTATAAACTAGATAAGAAATGTACACTTATATAACACAATAGAAAAAAAACTATTTCATTTATAATTGCTACTTATATTAATTTTTTTGTCATAAGAAGGTCAATTGAATGCACTTGAAAATAAGAACAAATGAAATTAAAAAATCACTTAAAATAGGTTGAACTTTGGTAATCTTATCAACATGATACAATTTCTATATAGATAAATTCTTTTTAATACAAATATTTTTTGTACGTGACCTTTAAAAGTATTTCATTTCATAAACCTTTAAACAAAAGCTTTTGCAAAAACACGTGTGTATTGAAAAGGATAAAGAATATTAAAAAATCCAATATCTGCAAGCGGCCACACTCGAAGAACTTGTGAAAGTTACGTTTTGCTTTGATACCCATGCTAATAACATAGATAAATGTATAGAAACGAAAGAAAATGTTGTATGAGTTTTTTTTTCGAGGTAAAATCAGGTCATACATAATACTAAATAAATTATAATAACAAAAAACCCAATACACATCGATAATTGTTTTTTAGAAGTTTTTTTTCTTTATCGCTAATTCCCAATTAATAAACATTACATGACGCTTAAACGTGATTTAACTTTAAATTATAAAACAAAACAGAAAAAAAAAATAACAAGATAATTTTAATTCCAAAGTACAAGAAGTCGTTTTTGTTGAGCCAAAAGAAGTTTACTTCATTTTAATTCGTCGAAACTCTTTTTTTATTGATTTATTTAACTCTTTCGTTCGATAAATAATGGATAATGACGAAGTAATGACAAAGAGGCGTCGGAGACGATCGGATATTGAATACAAAGTGGAAGTCAGCGGCAAAATCCTTGTCACATGACCAGAATTTCAATGAGACCTTTAAAACATTTTTGATGTTAGCGCTTTTCCGGAATTAGTTTACCCCACAGTTTGTTATTGTTCAAAAATTTTGTTTAGATTAAAACCAAAATAGATTCTCAATTAAAAAACAACCCAAAACAATTACGAAATAAAACGCATTCAAAACTTCTTTAAAAACATCCTCAAAAACATCTTAATTATTTATTTCGTAATTTTTGCGATGTAAATATATTTTCGATTTTTCTTTTTGAGTTTAATTTGTTTATTTATACAAAAATTAATTTATTTGATAAATTTTCCAAGGAAGTTGCGTTTTAAAACTTGTTTAATGCTAAATCTACTTAATTTATAATCTTTATTGCTGTTTTGCGGTTGTTATCTCTTTATTCACAATTTGAATTGTTTATCAATTTAACTTCCTAGCATTTATATTCATTTCTTTGGACAAAGTCCAAATGATTCAGAATATAAGAAAGTACGTCATTTTAATTAAAATTATTTGATTATCAAATCGTAGAAGCATGGATTCATTAATTACTGGATTCAACAAAAAGTTTCAAGTTAATATCTTTATGTCCCAATATTCATGGGAGGCTTCATTTCCATCAAGTCCATTCTGGAACAAAGAAGGCAACATCGGAACTCATTCAAATTAATCAAAAATAATGTTATTAACTAGAAAGTTCTGTGAGATGAAATAGTAAACGATGAAGTATTTGGCGAAGTACAAAGTCTTAATGATACATCGTCGATTCGAAAAGAAACTGCTTCTGATTGTAGTTTTGCGATGATAGCAAAAGCAAATGTCATTCAAGTCAAAAAAGAGATGCTCACAGAGTTGAAAGTTCCGAAATGTGTTTTTGAATTTCTTTTAATCAAAATTAAATCGAATGATGACAGGCGGTTATCATTAAAACGGCGAAAATATTTATTGGAGATCTAGTTGGAACTGACTTAATACAGTAGATCTGGTGTATCGAGTTATAATATGTTATGTTATTCTGGATAGAATCTGTGGGTTATTCTCCACTCTAGAAATATCTATTACATATCTACTCCAGAACAGTTAAAAAATGAGATCGTAGATGCTCCAGTATCTATCAAGGGTCATCCAAATGCTATATAATTTCTAAAAATACATGTATTCATTATATTAATCTCTGCATTTAATGAAATTCACGATATTAATATTATTGGTAAAATTTAGAAGAAAGTTGTGAATAAAAGTTGGATCTCTAAGAAGTCTCATCTATACCAGCTTCATTTTGGGACATCGGAATTTGTCCACTTCAAGTCAAAATGAAGATTCTATAGAACTGGAAGTTTTCCAACAAATATCTAATATTCGTGCATCAAAAGTCCATTATGAACGACACAAACCCTTTAGAGGCAGTGTGCTACTAGTATCTCACATTGCGATGAGCATTGGAATCAAACTAGAGATGATGCCAGTGTGTCAAACAAAACTGTTAGATTTTCTCTGATTACTTTGAATGGACTCTGAAGTCCATAAATGTAAGAAGACTTCTTGAAGTTCCAATTAAATTTCGTTTAGTTGCTGGAAAACCTTTTTTTATGATGATTGGCATTCCAGTTTAAGTTGGAAAAGATTATATGGAAGATACAAAAACGATAATAAGCACAATAGGAATCTCGAGAATGTTGGAAGTATTAAAATCACCAATATTCGTTTGATTTAAGATATAAACCCAATCTTAGTGCATCTAAGGAGTTGTTTTCAGTTTCACAAACTGATAGTGATGGAATCATGGGCGATTCTACTTAAATTTCGCTCTCAGGAAGTATGATTTCAAGTTCTGCAATTTTTGGTTATATTGCAAAAGGACACAATTTCTTCACTTTAAATTCTTTTAAGTTTCCAATTACTACGATTACTTCTGTATTTTTAGCTTATTGGGAATTCTCTGCGTAATTTTAATCTTAAATTTTTTTATTATCGTCATCGTTATTTCTAAAAAGTTTGCGATTTAAGTCATAAAAGTGGAGGATTTGCTAAAACAACTCAAAATCTTAGTAATCATGCTTTGTCCAAACGGTGTCTTTCAGCTACTTTACCTGGGTTGAGGTTGATTGGGATTAAATTGGGTTGTAGATTCTTCTTCTTACTTTCTACTTCCGTTCTTGTGGTGGGTTATTAGCTTGTAATAACGACATCCACCTCTCATGCTAGCGTTTATCATGTCTTCCTGGGAGTCGCCTGGTGTCTGGTTTTTGCGATTAGATTTTCTGACCACATCCTGTATATATCGCGGATCCTCTCGCTTCTTACCCTGCCACGCAGGCTTAAGCCTGTAATATTCCTTAGGGTTCTCATCTTTGTGGCTATCATGACTTGTTTGGTTGTTGCTGTTTTGGACTCTCGTCTCGACTGCGTATATTAGCAGTGGTCTTACACAGATTTTATAGATCCTTACTTTGCTTTTTATCGTTATATGTTTATTCCGCCATATGATGTCCCGTAGACATCCAGATATTACTACGGCTTTGGTTGCCTGTGATTTCACTTCATATCTGGTGTTGTTATTGCTTGGTATTTCGACTCCAACATATTTAAATTGCATAGTCAACTTGGATCGACTATCCATAGACCTCCAATTTGCATTACATTTGGATTTTGGAAATGACCATTAATTGTGTTTTCTGGGTAAAAATTTGCATGCTGAATTGTTCTGCGGTTGTTTTCTTATATTTATTTGTTTTCTTTTATAGCATTCTTAATACATCACCAAGTTGTACTTTATATCGAATGCTTGGCTGAACTCGACGAAGCATGAATATTGCATCTATAGTGGACCTGTTCCATTGGAATTCTTTACTTATTCAGGATTGTGTTGCTATTTTCTGGGCTATCATCTTTGTAAATAATATCAAGACTTATTTAGGGCTGCATATTTTGCAGAAAATGGGTACTTTGATCAAATGCATCCAGCAGAAAATGTTGCGTTTAAAGAAATCTTACACAATGAGATGATATTAAGACATAAACGAGAGTTCAAAGTTGAAACGGTGTGCAATATGTTCCATAAATGAACGTGCAGCTTTTTATCTAATATTTATCCAAGATTTACCCACATTATGTGATTTATATTAAAACGAGTTGTTTAACGCCTTGTTTTAGAATACATAAAGCCAAATTAAAATCGAGGTTGTGATCAATCCTTGATGCATTCAAATAGCAGAAAAACTATTTTTTAAAAGATTTTATCTATGAATAAAAAATTTAGAACATGGCCAACAAGAATAATTTAAAAATTACCTAAAATTTGCATATTTTATATCTTGCTTTGAATAATTTTAAACCCATCTTGAAAAATTAAACAAAATTAATGCTAAAAGTGTTAATTCCAGGAAATATTTCGATTAAAAAACCTGTTGTTGTATTATATATGTATAATAAACCAATTTTAAACAAAGAATTTAAAGATACTTGTAAAATAAAACAAATTAAACGAGGAAATTTACTCAAGGTTTTCAAACTTGTTTCAAGACTTTTAAACCATTTTCGCATTAAAACTGGTTTGGTAAGAGGAGTATAATTAATTTTAGCCGCCGACATAAAGCGTCAATTTAATCGATATTAATTAAAAATAAAAGATCAGTTTTAGGTACACGTGTTAGAGAGTATATTGTTCCAGTTCATTCTATTTGATGTATTATATAGTTAATTGGATTCGTTTAAACGTTGATTGGTCTTATTAACTTAGATTTTACTAATTAAGGAATCAAAAATCAGATTAATCAATAAAATAATTAAAATTAAAAACTTTCTGAAATATTATAGTAATCTCTAGGGAGGCCATGACTTCTGGACTAAGATAATCAAACTGGCCTCACAACATATCATTTGAATTTGTTTCTTTTTTTTTTTGCTAAAGTTTTAAATAAAATTTCAAAATAATTGAACTTTGTAGAAACCCCTCTCAAGGTCCATCCATTATACGAATTCAAATTAAAATCTTGACTTTTGACCCGTCGATTACTCATTATTTAAACTCAAAAAAAAATACATTAATGCCATTTATTGCTGTTATTATTAACTTTTTTAATTCAATTCGTAACTTACTTTTTCCTTGTTTTACTCTATAGATCAATTCATCGAATGCGAGATCCACTTTGGGCCTTTGAGGTAAATGCGTCAATTTCTTCGGTTGAGCGGGAGCTATCTGGACCCGAACCTCTTGATTCCTAGGTTTCAAAAGAATATCTTCAGTCGCCATGTTAAAAAATAAACGTCAAAAACAATCGCGTTTGAACAAAAGAAAACGAAAAAAAATACAATCGAACAATGAACAACGCGCAACAATCGTAACTACTATGTTTTTAACACATGACGATCGCCGACGGCGCCGAAACTCATCTGTCGCGTATCGGGAATGCGCGAGAATCTAGTAAACACTGACCGTATCAATTGGTACGTTATACGCATGCGCAAACTTTATATTATTTTTTTAAATAAATATTTGTTTGAATAAACATTCAAAATTATAAACTTTAAGTTTATAATAATAAATACATTAATTACGATTATTTTATTATAATTATAATATTGTATATGCAACTAATTTAACACGAATCAAGATTATTGACTTCACAATCTATCACAAAAAGCTTTAGCATATGCAACCCAAACAACATAATTTTTAAAAATCAAATTTTCCTCATCAACATCATTTTCTTACCATTTCTTCCCGAATAAATGTTTAATATCCATGATTTTGCACTTTCACTATTGTTAACGAAACATTCCTCAAACTCCCGATTTTTTAAAAGTAAGAGCCGATTTCTAAACTGTTTATGTTGCGAATATCTTCGTAAAAATGAGTTCTACTCTCACTTCTTGCGCTGACGTTTGGTTTGTGGTTTCTGGACCGGTTTTTTTTACGTAATCGCCGAATTTACAGTGTGGGGAACGAGTTTTATGAAATTTATGTGTTGACCTTATTTAATATTAAATATTTTGTTTATGATCTGAAGATGAAGATGTTTAATGATCTAAAAAGAAAAACATACAAAAAATGATTCCATTTTATTTGTATTTAAGTTTAGAACTTGTAAGCAAGTTTTTCATTAAATAATTTGATTTATTTATCTTGTAATTTCAAGTTCCATAGTACGGATAAATCCGGAACTTTCTAGTTCTAGGTCTAGTATTAGTGGCATGACAACTCTTTGTAAGCCTTAGCCTGTTCCAAGATCCTCTCTTCCATTCCGACCTATTATAATGCATTTTGTTACGATAGTTAAGTTATGCGTAGGGTTCTGATATCTTCCGTGACCTGGTCCAGAGTGTCCAGATATCTCAGCCTGAGTCGTCCTTTGGGTCTTTTACCGGATGGTGTTTGTTTTAATATCTTTTTTGGGGTCTCTTCATCCTTCCACTTGGCTGACTAAAGACGTATTTCGATCATTCCCATAATTGGTAAAATATTTGAACGTGTCATTAAATCGCAGTTGGTTGACTATTTGGAAAATCACATGTTGAATACCTCTCAGTTTTATTTTCGTCGAGGAATGCATACCAAATGGCTTTGAAAATAACCTGCTGATTGAGATATCACTTTTTGATCTGACCAAGACTTTCGACTACGTTGACCACGAGTTATTGTTGCTCACCATTTTAGTGACCCCAGCATTCCACTGCTTAAGTGGATTACCTTTCGGAGCGCACTCAGTATGTTCTTTTCAACAACCAATGTACCAATGTACTAGGTCCGTTACTGTTTTTGATATTTATTAATGACATGCCTAGCTGCCTGCCACAGAGCTCGGAGGTTGTACTTTATGCAAACTATAAATACCCGCCAAAATTTCAATACTCTTCATCAGGCTGTGTCTAGCTTTATTCGAAGACTTTTATCTTGGTTTGAATCTAATAATCTTGCTTTACGGGAAATTCCTCCATATCTCACTTAACCGGTTAAGTATCTGGGAGTGATACTTGTGGCCATGAAGTTAAATAAGTGTATTTTTGCAATTAGAAATCTGATATAGTACCATTTGACACTTTGATTGTCACTTATTACGGATATTTCTAACCACAAGTATTCTACGCCATTCTATATTGGGGTCACTCTGCTCATGCTGCCCAGGCTTTTCGAATGCAAAGAAGAGTGATGACTTTGCCGAATGTTGCAGAGCCAAATTCTCTGAACTGAATGTTCCGACTATTCCGTCTATATATATTCTAGAATTTCTGCAATACATTAAAAATAACCCAACCTCATATACTATTACGCCGCCAAGCTTTTCAATGTGCTGCCCCAGCGTGTCCGGATCCTTGATGCTAAACCGTTTAAATCTAAAATAAAGCTCTACTTTGGATTTAAAAGTTTCTATGGCATTGATGAATACCTCAAAAATAATTTCGATGACTTGGAGGGTTTGCCGATGGCATTGCATAGTTGTAATCGTGCGTTTTTTGTTGTAACATCTTGCAACTTTTATTTGTGTAGTATTAGTGTATCTCTTTGTGTATTTTTCTGTAGTCAGCTCCTATTAATTGCATTGTATTTTTATGAAGTTTTCCTTTTTCACACTAATTTCCGTACGAATTGTGTATATTTTTGTTGTTGTGGTGATGAGTGTAAGAGAAGTCTTTCTTAATAACACTATCTACCTTCACTCTTACGACGTGTCCTAAGCAACATAGGCGGTTCGAAGCGGTAGGTACAGTTGGAAATTATAGCGTTTTTGCCATAGGTGGTTTCCTGATAGTCCACGTTTCTGATCATGTCAGCGTTGGTCGTATTAATGTTTTGTATATGTGGCATTTGGTTTTTCTTGTATTAGGTATTCAGATCTTAAGTGTCTGATTAGACCGTAGTTTTGCTTGCTGCTTCCTGTCCATCGCCTCCTACTTCAGTTCACTACACCCACTTAGCATGTGTTCCAGCGTCAGCCAATCTTGTCTACACAGCCTACACCATTTCTCCACATTGTACGCCCAGTATTGCCACAGCGAAATTTGGCCACCAATCTCTTCCTTTCCTCATCTCCCTCCATCAACAGATACTTTAACAGTTCCTCTGTCACTATCTCCCTTCCTGTATCTGTGACTTTCTTTCCTCTCTCTGTATACCCTGTTTCTATTCCTCAGTTCTCTCCACATTTCACCTCCCTTCACTCTTCTGTTGTCGAACTAGTTAATATCCCACTCTCCTATAATATCCTTCCCTATCTCCCTGACCATATATCAACTTCCTCTCCTTGATTTCCCTCCAGCACTTTTCCAAAATCCTGCAATGCGGTCTTCCTTCTATCCTTTCCTCGTACTTCACTGCTCTTCTCCCTTACTGCATCTACCTTAACCTCCTCCCTCACAACATACCCTGGAGTCTCTCTCGCCAACCCTAGTACTCATCTCCAATACATTGTTTGCACATCCTCCAGCAATCCTTGTTGTCTTCATCCCTATACTTGTGCCGTAAATCATTGCGCTCCTCACCAAGCCATCAAACATAACCCTTCTTTTTCCCACATCCCTCCCAAAAATTCTTGGGGCATTCTTAAGGTGATTGGGACGAAGAGCCGAGAGTGTGGCGGTGGGGGAGGAGGGTAGAGGGTTTGGGTGTATACATGTATTGTACAATATTGAAAATTATAAACAATAAACGCTTATTGTTATTAGTAAAGTTTTGGTTTTGCTTTTTTTTACTTCATCGTAGATGTTGTCATCTGCATTAAGAAGTGAACCCAGATATACAAATTGTTTCACACCCTCGATGTTGTAGTTTTCGATTGTTAGGTTTTGCGATTGTCTTGGGCTATTGGTGTGCTTGTATTTTGTCTTTGTTGGGTTCATTCTTAAACTACTCAGTTTGTGTTGCTCTATCTATAAGGTTCTGGTTTAAGAATGAACCCAACAAAGACAAAATGCATGCAAGAGTGTACAGGACTCTTGCTCATGATTGAGCCCCTTATGTTTATATCTGCTTTTCTTATAACTTTTTCAAGGATCATGTTGAAAAGCATGCATGATAATCCATTTCACTGTCGTAGATCTTCCAACTTTAAAATGTTGTGTTGTCTCTTTCTGAATTCTCACTGTGCTTTCCAACCTCAATGTCTCCCTTGTTAGTGAGATAATCTCTTGATATCCTACAGTAAGCGCTTTCAAAGCAGATTTTAACACTATTTAACACAATTTTCGTTATACTACACTAAATCACTAGAAGTAGTCGATTATTTCTCATAAGAACTAATTTTTTCAATCGAAATGAGTATTAAATAGTAGAAATTGAAAAAAAAGTGATAAATCAGAAAAATTAAAATACAAAAAGTGACATAGTTGATTACCCAGTTGATTGATTATTGCCAACCTCAAAAAATAAAAATAACTGAGGTTATTTCAGTGAATAGAATTGTTTATAAGAATTTGTTTAAAAAATTTGTTTATGAAAAACGGATTAATTTAAATAAAATAAGTAAATAAAAATTGGCTTGTTTTAAAATCTTTATTTAGAATTATCAACTTATGTTGTAGTGAAATTTGGGTTGCATACATTCGAGTTAATTAAAGATTTTAGATTAATGTTAATAAATTTATATAATTTAAACATTTTAAGCAACAAAATTAATGATACATCTCAGATATTTCTTTTTTTTCCATTTAATAAAATTATAAAAGAATTTGTATTTCACTCTCTTATAAAAAAAATAATTTTATTGATAAAAAATTAAAAAAAAAACTTAAAGTACGTTAATAAAGCTTTAGTAAATTAAATTTAGTGTTTAAAAACAGTTTTCTCATTCATTATTGTGGTCTCATTGATTCCCTCCCACCCAAACTACTAGAAGAGGAGTGGTTGAAGAGGATTGGTTCCTCCTCTACTCTTTTACAGGTATAAGTTCGAACCCGTTATATTTTCGAGTTTAGTCTGCAAATGTCCTTGCTTTTGACACCACATAGTTCTCAAAAAAACCATCACAAAGTGTGATCGAAGTTTACGTATTAAACATGGAGTATTTTGGATACAACCCCAACATTTTTGCAATCAAACAAGACTTACCATTAAATTTGGCCTCAAAAAAAGAAGCTATTCGTTATCATCCCTACGAAAATGTTTATTCCCAAGAATGTTTTCAAGAAATAAGTGTTAAAAAATCTCCGAGTTATACCTCAGATTCCGAAAGTTTCGTTTCGTCTTCATCTCACGAACGATTAAGTTTATCGCCACTTAATAATGGATTGGATATTGATTATCAACGTTTTCGTGAAGAACATTTATCTAAGTTACCTCAAAAAATCATTTCTAATCACAACATGAGAAGAATTGGTCAATCGATCGGTCATCATCATCAACAAATCGATCCCAGCTATAAAGAAAAACGAGAAAAGAATAATTTAGCCGCGAAAAAATCGAGGGATGCCAGAAAACTACGCGAAGATGAGATGGTCCTGAGATGTGCTTTCTTAGAAAGTGAACTCATGAAATCATCGTTGACAAGAAAACAACACAAAATTTGTATCGAAGAAGAAAACGAAACTTTAAAGAAATTGGACCTTGTTATTTCGCAACAAACCGAATCGATTAATGAGTTTCAAAAATTAATTTTCCAATTAAAATCGAATAATAATAATTATGGGAGCCATAGTAGTGGGTTATCGATTTAAAAACGTTCTATTTTAGTTAAATGTTATTGTATTTATTTGATGATTTATAATTTATTTCGAAGAAAATTTTATTTTCTTTAGTCTGAGTTTTTGTGATCTTTAGTTTGTAATTTTTAACGATTAAGATTTAGGGTTAATGTTATTTATGTATTTGGAGAGTGTTAATAAATCGTATTGAAAAATATCTTTATGTTTTACTATTTTTTCTTAGAATTTACACTAATTTATTAATTTTCTTGAGGTTGTGGAGCTTTATTCTTGCATTTTCGTGCTTATCAGCCCGGCTAGCTCAGTCGGTAGAGCATGAGACTCTTAATCTCAGGGTCGTGGGTTCGAGCCCCACGTTGGGCGTTAACATTTTGCGTTTAACAACAAAAATTATTTTGTATTGTTAAAGAAATGTTAATGCACGTGTCGAAAAATCTTATTTATTGTACACCCTGAAACAAAGACGTAAATGTTTCTTCGATAATAAAGTAGTAGAAGTTATATACAGCATACGTGGCATTTAGATCCAGTATGCAATGGTCGATTCTGATTGAGTCTTTATTTACTCGTATTTACTCTTAGTATCTTAGTTTTGCACAATGAAACCAATAACTAGATACTGGAATCATCCATTATATACTAGATTTAATTTCCAGGTATATATGCCATCTGGATACTGGAACCAATTCCTATACTGCAGTTCTTACCTCCATGGAACCTGCATTTATGTTTTCTATATTGACACCATTCACTATGGATACTGCATCTGATACGTAGATACTAGCATCTACCCTAAATACTGGAATCATCCGCTAGATACTGTATCTAATTACTATGTACACTCAATATAATTTCTAGGTACTGAAGTCAACCACTGCAGTCAGTAACTTTGTTACTTACACTCCAACATCTTTCAATAATCCTTGGCTAACATCTGGATACTGGAATCAATTCCTACACTGCAGTTCTTACCTCCATGGAAACTGCATTTATGTTTTCTATATTAAAACCATTCACTATGGATACTGCATCTGATAAATAGATACTAGAATCTACCCTAAATACTGGAATTATCCGCTAAATACTGTATCTAATTACTATGTACACTCAATATAATTTCTAGGTACTGAAGTCAAGCTACATCTTTCAATAATCTTTGGCTCAGAGATGTGTTAATAATTTCTATAAATATGTGTACTCTACCAACTCTGCAAACACAAAAATATCAAAAAGCTTCCAAATGAATAATAAAATTTACCAGAAAAAGTAGAGAGACTAAGAGATTAATGATTTTATAAATTTTAGATACTCAACCCCGTAAAATCACCGTAAAACACCGTAAAATTTGAAACATTGACTTTGCTCATTAACGAAACATGATGAACGATGAAGAAAACTGTTAACGGTGTGGCATTTCTTTTCTAAATCTTCTTCGAAGGTAACAAGTTGCAAGTTTACGTTTAACTCTTTTGTTGTCAACTCTTCTTTAAGCCTTTCCTTCGTTTGCGAATACTGACCCTTTAACTACCTGTTTCCATTTTTCTTTTGTGCAAATAAACGGAGTAAATTTTAAATTTTATTTATTTAACTTTATTCTTAAAACCTAAAATTTTTCCTTAACGGTAATCACAATTTACGATAAGATATAAAAAAAATGTAAATTCAAAAACTTTTAAGCGATAATAAACATGCAAAAAGCATGCATCATCTAAAAAAAATTCCGAGATAATAATAAAGAAATAATTAACACTTTAATTTTAGTAATTCTTTCTTTAAATCGTTCACTTCGCAACTTAACTTCCAATTTTGTTGTTCTAAAAACGCACACCTAATCGCGATTTCATCTTCTTTGGCTCTTCGCGCGTCCCTCGATCTCTTCGCGGCTTCGTTATTTTTTCTCCGTTTTTCCAAATAAATCGGGTCGTCATCACCAGAACCGTTTTTGCTGTGATTATTTCGTTTCATGTTTTTATTGGTGTAGTTCATCTGTGCTTCGCCCATCATCCCCTTTCGAAATTCAACGTACTCTTGAGATGAATAAACACTTCCTAGGTAAATCGCCAAAGAGGACGCCGAAGTAATCGAAAATGAATCCTTTTTATACGCTTTAAACGGCCGTGTTAATTTTGATGATATAATTGATGGTGAGATATCGTTTGTGGAAGATGATGGTTGTTGTAAAGATGATTCTTCGTTGATTGTTGCTTTATTTTTTGGGGTGTATTTGGAAATACTTAGATCTAAAATTGAGTCTTCGGGTTCTTTCATTTTTTTAAAATTTTGTGTTATGGTTAGGTTCGAGGTTCGAATTGAACTGTTCGTTGCTTTTGATTGCGCATATTCAACTTGGAAGTGGGCTAATCTAAGTTGTGCTTTATGAACGTGCTAAATAGATTATCATTAAATTTTCCATATAAATCAGTTCAAATTTAGTTGTTGGTAATCAAGTGATTTTAAGAAAAAATTAATTAGTTAATCGAGTTAATTTTTTTTCTTAGAAATGTTATGTAAATCAATATCGCATTTTATTTGGGAATTTGCAACAAAATTTGTTTTAAAAAAAATAAGTAGCGAAGTGTCGTTAACTAAAAAGTGGATCGTAAATTTTAAATTTTGGCTACCGCTTCCAAAAAACCCATATTATACGACCCTTAGTCATAAATCGACAGTAAACAGGTAGCCCGTAGACTGTTTTTTATGGTTTTATTGGGGCAATTGATTTCGCCAACAAGTTACCTTCTAAAAAAAAATCGCACAATGTATAGTTTTTTTTTCTCTTTTTAGAAGCAGTCATTATAAAGGGGCTCCGCTACCCTTGCGAAATATTTACGGTTTTACCTACTTTATTATCGAAGAAACCATTTACATCTTTGTTTCAGAGTGTACAATAAAAAAAAACTTTCGGCACGTGCTTTAACATTTCTTTAACAATGCAAAATGATTTTTGTTTTAGATCTGTTTCAAATCATTTTGTAATGGAATTATGCACCGAATCGGGGTTGTAATCGCTATAGAAACTGCGTGTAACTTTTCCATACCGCAAGAAGTCGTATGGAATCTACCATTAGCAACTATGTAGGTACTAGAATTATACGCTAGAATTCTGGAATCATTCATTGGATATTGTACTTAATTATTATATTTATATACTGTGTTTCTAGCATTTTGAAACTGGAAGCAAGCAGTAAATATTAGTACTAATCACCGTGCAAACTTTATACAAGTTTTGCATAGTGAAACCAGTGCCCATAGATAATAAAGACCTCATTAATCTCTGAGTCTCTGGGCTTTTCTGTAAATTATAGGTTATGATAGAAGTATATTTATAGAAATTATTAACACATCTTAAGTTACTGAGTGTAATAGTTGACTTCAGTACCTAGAAATTATATTGAGTGTACTTAGATATAGTATCTAGTGGATGATTCCAGTATTTAGGGTAGATTCTAGTATCTACTTATCAGATGCAGTATCCAAAGTGAATGGTTTCAATATAGAAAACATAAATGCTGGTTCTATGGAGGTAAGAACTGCAGTATAGGAATTTCTTCCAGTATCCAGAAGTTAAATACAGTATACATAGCATTTATAGAAGACTCCAGTCAAGTTAATGTTTCCAGTTGTGTCTTTATTATCTATGGGCATTGGTTTTATTGTGTAAAACTTAGATAAAGTTACTAACATTTACTGCTTGTTTCCAGTATCTAACTGCTAGACTAGTTATCATAAACAACTCTTCTAGGAATTTTTAAACTTTCATCTTTTTTGACATTTTTGTATTAACCGAAAATGTTAGTTTTATTTCAATATCATTTTTTTCCAAATTTTTCAAATACAACCCAACGACTGTTATATATCAATCGAAAGAGAAATCTTTGCACTTTAATTAGAGATAAGTCTCATTTCTTAGTTTTCAGAAACAACGCTACGATAAATTTTTAAATTTTCATCTTTTTCGACGTTTTTGTATTAACCGAAAATGTTGGTTTTATTTCAATATCATTTTTCTCACATTTTTTTATATACAACCCAACGCTTGTTATATATCAATCGAAAGAGAAATCTTTGCACTTTAATTAGAGATAAATCTCATTTCTTAGTTTTCAGAAACAACGGTTTCACGAATTTTTAAATTTTCATTTTTATCGACATTTTTATATTAACCGTAAATGATAGTTTTATTTCAATATTATTTTTCTCAAATTTTTTTAAATACAACCCAACGATTATTATATATCAATCGAAAGAGAAATCGTTGAGCTTTAAGTAAAGATTAATCTCATTTCTTAGTTTTCAGAAACAACGCTTCGACAAATTTTTAAACTTTCATTATTTTCGACATTTTTGTATTAAGCGAAAATGTTAGTTTTATTTCAATATCATTTTTCTCCAAATTCTTCAAATACAACCCAACGACTGTTATATATCAATCGAAAGAGAAATCTTTGCACTTTAATTAGAGATAAATCTCATTTCTTAGTTTTCAGAAACAACGCTACGATAAATTTTTAAATTTTCATCTTTTTCGAGGTTTTTGTATTAACCGAAAATGTTAGTTTTATTTCAATACAACCCAACGATTGTTATATATCAATCGAAAGAGAAATCTTTGAGCCTTAATTAAAGATTAATCTCATTTCTTAGTTTCCAGAAACAACGCTACCACGAATTTTTAAAGTTTCATTTTTTTCGAAATTTTTATATTAAGCGAAAATGTTAGTTTTATTTCAATATCATTTTTCTCCAAAATTTTTAAATACAACCCAACGATTGTTATATATCAATCGAAAGAGAAATCTTTAAGCCTCAATTAAAGATTAATCTCATTTCTTAGTTTTCATAAACAACTCTTCCAGGAATTTTTAAACTCATTTTTTTCGAAGTTTTTGTATTAACCGAAAATGTTAGTTTTATTTCAATATCATTTTCCTCCAAATTTTTTAAATACAACCCAACGACTGTTATATATCAATCGAAAGAAAAATCTTTGCACTTTAATTAGAGATAAATCTCATTTCTTAGTTTTCAGAAACAACGATAATACGAATTTTTAAACTTCCATTATTTTCGACATTTTTGTATTAAGTGAAAATGTTAGTTTTATTTCAATATCATTTTTCCCAAAATTTTTCAAATACAACCCAACGACTGTTATATATCAATCGAAAGAGAAATCTTTGCACTTTAATTAGAGATAAATCTCATTTCTTAGTTATCATAAACAACTCTTCTAGGAATTTTTAAACTTTCATCTTTTTTGACATTTTTGTATTAACCGAAAATGTTAGATTTATTTCAATATCATTTTTCTCCAAATCTTTTTAATACAACCCAACGATTATTATATATCAATCGAAAGAGAAATCTTTAAGCCTCAATTAAAGATTAATCTCATTTCTTAGTTTTCATAAACAACTCTTCCAGGAATTTTTAAACTCATTTTTTTCGAAATTTTTGTATTAACCGAAAATGTTAGTTTTATTTCAATATTACTTTTCCCAAATTTTTTTAAATACAAACCAACGATTATTATACATCAATCGAAAGAGAAATCGTTAAGCCTTAATTTAAGATTAATCTCATTTCTTAGTTTTCAGAAACAACGCTTCGACAAATTTTTAAACTTTCATTATTTTCGACATTTTTGTATTAAGCGAAAATGTTAGTTTTATTTCAATATCATTTTTCTCCAAATTCTTCAAATACAACCCAACGACTGTTATATATCAATCGAAAGAGAAATCTTTGCACTTTAATTAGAGATAAATCTCATTTCTTAGTTTTCAGAAACAACGCTACGATAAATTTTTAAATTTTCATCTTTTTCGAGGTTTTTGTATTAACCGAAAATGTTAGTTTTATTTCAATACAACCCAACGATTGTTATATATCAATCGAAAGAGAAATCTTTGAGCCTTAATTAAAGATTAATCTCATTTCTTAGTTTCCAGAAACAACGCTACCACGAATTTTTAAAGTTTCATTTTTTTCGAAATTTTTATATTAAGCGAAAATGTTAGTTTTATTTCAATATCATTTTTCTCCAAAATTTTTAAATACAACCCAACGATTGTTATATATCAATCGAAAGAGAAATCTTTGCACTTTAATTAGAGATAAACCTCATTTCTTAGTTTTCAGAAACAACCCTACGAAAAATTTTTAAATTTTCATCTTTTTCGAGGTTTTTGTATAAATCGAAAATGTTAGTTTTATTTCAATATCATTTTCCTCCAAATTTTTTAAATACAACCCAACGACTGTTATATATCAATCGAAAGAGAAATCTTTGTACTTTAATTAGAGATAAATCTCATTTCTTAGTTTTCAGAAACAACGCTACGACAAATTTTTAAACTTTCATTATTTTCGACATTTTTGTCTTAAGCGAAAATGTTAGTTTTGTTTCAATATCATTTTTCTCCAAATTTTTTAAATACAACCCAACGATTGTTATATATCAATCGAAAGAGAAATCTTTGAGCCTTAATTAAAGATTAATCTCACTTCTTAGTTTTCAGAAACAACGCTTCCACGAATTTTTAAACTTTCATCTTTTTCGACATTTTTGTATTAAGCGAAAATATTGATTTTATTTCAATATTATTTTTCTGCAAATTTTTTAAATACAACCCAACGATTGTTATATATCAATCGAAAGGGGAATCTTCGAACTTTAATTAGAGATAAATCTCATTTCTCAGTTTCCATAGCGATTACAACCCTGAATGAAGTGCTTAATTTCAGTATACAATGATTGATTCCAGTATCTAGTGGATGATTCAAATATCTAATTCTTGGGTTTAGTATCAATTGGTGTCATTATTCAGAAGTTACATACAGTATGCATGGCAATTAGATCTAGTATATCTAGTACACAATGGATAACATCAGTATCTAGTTATTGGGGCTGGTTTTAGTATGCAAAAAATATGACAATTTGTTCTTACTTCATATTTGATTGTCTCCACCATTAATTTTTATACCGTTTTTTAAGTGCTACCATTGTCAAAATCGATCATGGATTTATACAGGTTTTTCCAGTAACTTTCGACTTCCAACAATCAAAGATCAAAAGTTTCCAGCCTCTTTGTACTTAAAGTTGTAACTTTGCCAATGTTATTCTTTTTGAACATTATCTATGTCTCATTATGTTTAATTTATTTACATGATTAATAAATAATAAATGAAAATCAATAAATGATTTTTTTCTCAGTACCATATAAAAATGCGATAAAGTTGAAAACACCACTTAAAAATAAAAAAGG